CACTCAGAGCATTAACATCTTTCAGATGGAGAAACTGCTGGTGAGAAGGAAGTGTGTATGCCTCGCCATGCTGCCTCCAGACCCTGGCTGGAGCTGGGGCTGGATTGTGTCATACACAGGAGGTAGGTGTGCACGTGCAGCTGTGAGGAAGGAGGAGTACAAGGAGGAAGCAGAGGAAGAAACCCTCTTCCCTCTTGTCCCCCACATGCAGAAGAGGCAGTGCTGCCAGCAGGAGAAAGGCACCGGAGCTAGGAGTGGGAAGGGGTGACAGAGGAAGCAGGGGGTCACTGAAAAAGCCTAGTGGGTGTCCCACTGCCAATTCAGTGCCCTGTCCCCTGCAAAGCTGCGCCCCCCAGCCCATGCCACCCACTCATCCAACCCCGCATGAGGGGCTGTGGTCAAAGGGGCCTGCTGGCTGTGGAGTCATTAGTGCGGGTTTCAAAGAAGTTCAAAACCAAAACACAGTGATGAAGTGGGAGTTTCTGTACCAAGTGCCAAGTGAACCTGAAAGGTTAGTTTAGTCTTTAATGAAATTCCTGCTTCAAAGTCTTCCTCTCTTATCCACTGGAGACCTGTGCTTTCTTTAAGCAATGTTTAGAGGACACCAGTCTGCAAGGGTAATCATCCTCGCCCCAGGCGGAAACAGCTCATGCACTAGCATTTCTAAAAAGTCTCTCTTTGTGAATAATTGAATTTGTCTCTTGAGTTCAAGATTTCTTTTTCTGTAGGACTGACTGTAGCTGTGCTTCCTCCTTAGGTACAGCTTACTGTAATTGAGGCAGAAGAAATGTATTGCACTGGAGGGTTTTGTGAGCATGACGCATAATAAGGTGATTGCAATGGAAAGAGTAATTTGTAGCATTTAAAATACTTCCTTCAGTTGTGAACAGATCGGCAGAAAATAAGTAACAGATCTCCCACTGCCGTCCTCTACTCCCACCGGAATGGAAAAAAAACTAATGCTGCATGAGGTGTTCCTGTGCAGTGGGCACAGCCCCTCACTGCCATGCACTGCCAAGGACCCATCCTCAATGATATTCAGAGCCCATCTGTTCCTGACACCACCTGGGACACAGGGAACTATCAACCAGGTCAAATGCTTGTCCAGCCTAAAAGAAAACACTGTGGTTCACACATCCACTGGCAAGGTGTGTCACTTGCTTGAGCACAGCTTCTTTTCCTCTGAAACCTCCCAGCCTTGCAGCGATTTCTGTGTGTCACTGGAATGGCAGGAAAAAAGCTGCACATCCCAGATCTGAGACAATCATCCCTGTAGCTTCTTCACCAAGGAAAAGCCAAATACAGGTGCATCCTCCTTCCAGCTGCCAACAAGGTCCACTGTTGAGGTGAACACCCCATGTGTGGAGACACGAGGTTTGAGTCTATTTTTCTCAGAAGGTTGACTTATTATGTTATATATTATACTAAAATACTACATTAAAACTATACTAAAAGAACAGAGAGAAAAGAAAGATCAGAAGGCTACAAAGAACAAGAATAGAATAGCATGTATAACAAAATCTTGTGACTGCTCACAGCCTCGGCACAGGTGGCTGTGATTGGTCATCAATTGAAAACAATCCACATGTTCCAATGGAAGATGCACCTGTTGCATTCCACAGCAGAAGATAGTTATTGTTTACATTTCTTTCCTGAGGCTCTCAGCTCTCAGGAGGGAAAAAAATCCTAGGAAAGGATTTTTAATAAAATCATAGCTACAGTCCACTATCCCTGGATATGTTTCAGTACCTCCTTGCATCCTCGGTGTCCGTAACCTGGTGTGTAACATCCAACTGTGGCCTTTGCAAAGCTGTCTGTAAGTAACTTTCCAGGAAAGGGTTAGAGGGGGAAGAAACTCTCATAATAATTTGCTGTGAGCAGGACCTCAAGTCTGGCTCCAGGGAAGAGATGTCTCCCTGCCAGTAGGTGAGATAAGTGGTGTGTCTCAGGATGGGTTTTGCCATCATTTGCAGAGGCAGGGCTATGCTGCTCACACACATGAATGTCGGCAGCAGGATGACTGTTTCAGGGCCTGGGCTTAAGGTAGAAATTGGGGCAAAACGCAGCTCTGAATGGAACAAAATTCCATCATGCTGGGAGGTTTCTTTCTTGTCTGTCTTTAATCACCAAGCACAGCAACAGAGCTGGGTGGCTGCATTCAGTCAACACAATGAAACATGGCAGCAGTGTATTTTTAGGATGCTATTTTAGTGGGGAAGAAACAGATTCTAAGGGCAAGATACAGGGATCTAGAAACTCAAACAAGCTGCTCCGGGATTTCTTTGTCTCTTGAATATGCCACACAGCGCTTAGGTTATCTTGTCAATTTGTGATGTGTGTTTCACATCAATAAAAAATCTCATTTAACACAAAATACATTCTTTCATGGTACAAAGCTTACATGACCTGATCAGCAGGAGAAGCAAAGGTAACTGCAATTATAAATGAAAATCCAAATTTTAGACTGAAGTCAGATTTTTTTGGATTCTAGTATCTGCAGGTAATCTCTGTGTTCTTTGTGGTCCTTGCTCTGAAGTGGAAACCAGAATATATTCCTTTAGTATTTTTACTCCCTTCTGTGGCTGTCAATAACGATGGCTTGAATATTCTGTTCGTCCTCAGCTTCAGGACTTCTTGATCATCTGGGACAGATCTTTCTCTGTCAGATTTCTGAATGACAAGCAGAGATTTCATCCCCAGGGGAAATTCCTTTAGCAGTAACCTGGGCATCCAGTGCATTTCCTACAAGTGCTCTTAGTACATTTCCTCAGGTAGAAGAGCAATGCAAACAAAAAGAAGACTGTGCAGTAGCATTTATTCTCCAAAAGATGTGGAGCCCTGATGTAGCCTGGCCAGCACTACCAGCTCCAGCTGGAGCCTATTTAAACGTGACATCAAAAGTTTGCATATGGACAAATTAGGGATGTGGTATAGATATTGTTAACACCTGGCAGGTCACCAAATAGGAAAATGACCAGAGTCCTTTTTCAGCTTTTACTTTTTAGCTTGCATTCCAGAGGTATGGGGAGCTCCATGGTTAGCAGAAGTTGACAGTCAGGAAAAGACATGTCAGGACTCAGCTCAGTCAAGGACTCCCTCCTGAGGGAGGGCACTGCTGGTAGAGAGAGGTGCCTGTTTAAGGGACTGTGACACTTGCTGTCTCTTCCCTGAGGAATGGGTTGTAATAGGCTCTGTCACAAAGTCCAAATGGTGGGTTGTCCTTGATAGCTCCATCCTCCCAAGGATGGAGCTATCAGGGGCAACAAGCGTCCTGCCTTCCATACTGCCAAACATCCACACTGTGAAGAGCCAGCACATAACATATATCCACGCTGTGTATGTGAGGTGTCCTGCCCTGCTCTTTGGCTTGGTAGAAAGAAGCCTGATAAGCAAGAACTCAAACCTGTTTCTTTCTGTCAAGCTGCCAACAGCAGCAAATTTTCATTATTTGCCTGCAATGAGATGCTTTGCTGACAGGTCTGTGCCTAGCTCATGGAAATGCAGTGTGCTTCCAGGACAGCTCAGAAGGATGTACAAGTGACTTGCAATAAAGACAGGTGACAGGACTGCCAGGAATCATGCCCCTCCACCTGAGGGTGCTGCCATTACCAAAACTGACTGCTGAAGGATTTTAACCACACCAAGGGACATTGTCACACAGGATATTGGAATTCATCAAACTGCGGAAAATAATTGGTGTTCTTCTTAGGAAGAAAATGGAGAAATCCTTATTTCAATCCATATTAGTTTCTGGAGATTGTTTATGATGTTTTGCTGTGTTCTTAAAAGATAGTGTAGAGAGTATAGAAATAGCATATGTGAGACTAGTGCATGAAGGAAATGAAGGAAGAAAGAAAATCAGCTCTTCTGTATGCTATCTACTGTTGCGGTGTGTTGTCATGGGGTGCCTCAGTTTCCCTAGTCCCTCCCCTGAAGTTTCCTTCCCCAGGTTGGTTGTCAATCACCTCTCCTTTCCCCACCCTTGACCCCTGTTGGGCACTGTCCATCAAACCAGAAATTCCAAGGGGAGCGTCGAGTGATTGGCAGGTTCAAAGGATGCTCTCCACAGGTTCAAAGGATGCTCTCCACCCCCTGGGGGGCCATTGGCCCACCCAGGTGTCCCTCTCACCTGAGACCCCCTCCCCCCGTACCTGGTTGGTGGTCCCTGTGTTCCCTCCCCTTGCCCTCTCCCCAGGTAAAAGGACGAGCACACCATGAGGTGGGAGTTCTGTTGGAGTTGTTGCAGGATTCAGAGGCCATGTGGCCCAGAATAAAAACTCTGGATTAAAAACTCTCCGCCAGGACCCATGCCTTTCTTCACCATCCCCTTAAAGGTTTCTCCAACTCAGGGAGGCCTGAGGAGTGACCCTCATCAACAGCAAGCCTCAGTCCGTAAGCACTGGAGCTCAGGATGTGCCTGGACTTGTCCCCATGTGCTCATGGCTAGCCAGAGCGCCTCTGGGGTGCAAAACACCACAGGTGCCACGATTGGCTCAGCAGCTGAGGCCAGACAGACCAAGGCAGTCCCCTTCGGTAATATTGGTAAAATCCAATAATCTACCTTATAGTACACAGAGCATAAATCATCAGTGTTAGAAGAGACCTTCAAGAACAATTCCAACAACTAACCTGGCATCACCATAATCACCCCTAAACCATATCCCCAGAAATTATATATTCAAACTTAGGTACCTGGCATATTTTTGAGAGTGTGTAAACTGGTAAACTACTTACTCTGAGTTAATCTGAAAAGACAAAGGAAAAAATAATTGTTTTCAACATGGGCTAAAATGTAGGTAATGTTTTTGTCTTAAAGGTTTCACAAGATTTACCTATTTTTTCAGTCTGGCGGGAAACAGAGGCTTTCGGTTTAATGAAGTATTTCTTTGAAGTCATGCTGAGTGACTGCTGCATGTCTGCATGGGGCAGGTCACTTCAACTTGCTTTTCTGAGGGAGCACCAAGACAGCTACATATTCACCAGAACTTCATCAAGTGAAGATGAAAGCAAGGTGGCTTTTCTCTCTCTTTTGTTTGCTCTCAGCGCCCAGTGTCACAGGTAAGAGTGCCGGAGGACACTTTGACTCAGTTTATGATGGTGGGTGGTGAGGGGCAGGCTGGGATTAGTGGGTCTCACTAGGGTGAGCTGTAGCTACTGATGATGATTTTCTATTTCCTGACAACTTTCTGATAACCCTAGTTATAATGTGCAGCTAGTAAGGGGTAAATGCCTTGTGCTGAGCAGATTACTTAATTCAATATGCCTAACCTGCTGGAATAATCACTGGGATGAGCTCACTTGAAGTAGGGCAATGTGTGCTCCTCTCAAATGGGCCAAAAGGAAAACAGCTTTCAAGGGAAAAATAAAAAACACCTCTCTGTCTCTGTCTTACATACCCGTGTATGCAGAGAGGAAGAATTGAAACACTTCAAGGCAGGAGTAAATTGTACAGGTATAACCTCTTAAAGGTTACACCCTTCCTCTTCTCCACCTAGCCCCATGTGCTAACATCTAGAGAAACAAGTTTGTCATTCAAGTAAAACACTCAGAAAAGCTGACTAAGGAGGGCTGCACCTTTTTCCCCTTAAATTTAAGGGCATTTAAACCAAAAGCAATCTGAGGAAAACCAAGAAAAAGTGTGTTCACAAATCCCCACCACCGCTCCCTAAAATTCTGACCATGATAAATGCAGGAATACTTGTTACCAGCTAGGAACAACAATTTTGTAGGATACACAATTTTCCAGTTAAGAAGGGAAAAACTGGATGTATTTCACTAGCATGGAAGGATGCATTTCACAACCTGGCATAGGCTAGTTTTTTTGCTACATCACTGAGGCAAACTTTCTTAAAATAAAAATAATTCATACATATATTCATAGAAAATAGAAAATCTCAAGTGCAAAGAAAGGAATAGAAACCTCACAGCATGCACATGTAAGAAAGAAATAGCAAATACAGAAAAATAGGGATTGGAGGGTTTTTTCCCTCTGAGATTAAATCCTCACTGAAGTCACTCAAAGGTGAAAGTCGAGGCCTCTATGCCCTTTGTGGAGATCAGACACTTAAATGTCTGGGAGCTACTCTAAGAAATTTCAGCTGGAGCACAGGTATGCATTAATGGACACTATTTGATTTTGAAAAATAAAGTTGACATAAAATGAGATTACTTATATTGAGATGCTAGCAAAAAGTTAAGAACTATTTTGCACAAAATGTTTTCAGTTAAAATAATCTACTGTGTTAGGCTACTAAGAAATAATGCAAATCAAAATGTTGTTTCTACATATATAACTTTTTCAACTTAATATAAGTTACTCAAGTGGTTCTTCATAGACATTCTTTATATGATCCTTAGACCTAAGGCAGCATGAATATGAGAGAAAAAATGCTGTGTATCTTTTGCTTGATAGTCTGATTGCAAGATTCCTAATTGCTTTTCCCTTAACTTTTACTGATGCAAAACTTGTGGTGAAATCAGAGAACATTTCCTATAATAAGCTCCTTGGACTGACAAAAATAGTTTTAGTAATTTTTCTCACAGAAAAAGGCTGCGAGACTTGTCATTCAGGCTTATTTTTATTTGCCTTCTTACATCATCACATCTTTTAGAATAAAAGATGAGCAGAAGACGTGCAGCAATGAAACAGCAGAGATTAATGTTGGCCATGGCAATTGAGTAGCTTTGTTCTCCACACATCTAGTCTCCAAGTGTCCAGGTCACCCTTCAGTGCACAGATACCAAATCAGAGCCAGCTCTGTGCGGATGTGTCACACTGCCTTTGTGCCTTCTCTCCATCAAGCCAGAGCTGAGGGTACACAGAGTCCCTGCCTGGCTCCTTCCTGGCTGAGCTGGGGGAGTGTGGGGCACACTGCAGCCCCACTGAGGATGCTTGAGCCCTGGCAGGGGCACCCTGGCTCAGGTGCCCCAGAGCCGTGTACCACACAGCAGAGCCAGTGTCAAAGCAAGGGAATTGGTACCTGGCTTTTTCAAGGAAAGAAAGTGAGCAGTGGGCACTTGCAGCTGGCAGGACTGCAGGGCAAATTCCCAAAGCAAATATATGGGGAAGTTATGATACACAGGGAGGATGATAAAATGGAATGTAAAAGGGGGGCAACAAGTCTGTACCTAAGGACAACTGCACAACTAATTGTTTTTGTGGACCTGGATGTTCTTTTGGAAAAGGGACTTTTTGTGTATGGCTCTATGAAAATGATTGATTATTCATCTCACTGCAACAACCCCCTCCATAAATTCTTCATCTCCTTGAGTTTGTCAGTGCCCTGCATTCAGGGGTTTGGGGACTGCCGGACTCTTACTTAGAGGAGGGAGAAAGGGATATAAATCAATTCTACTACAACAGCAGCTAAACCAAGTGGTACAGGCTCCTGCTGAATGCCCCTTCATTTCATCGATCCATTACTCCTTTATATGGCACACTAAGGACTGCCACCTGCTTTATGAAATTAATAGAGGAAGAAAACACACACACCAGAGCAGCGCACTTTGACACTAGACAGACAGTGGTTTAGGACATGCAGGAGCTCTTTAATAACACGGAGAACAGCTTTCTCTGCTGAACCCACAAAGGCAGTGGGCAGGGGGGTGGTGCAGGGAATTAGCCAGCAGGGATAGCACATTTGTTCTTTCAAAAAGAACTGGGGAATAACTGTGTCCAGCTTCTGCATTATTTATATTGCTTGAAAGATTTTCATTTTCACAGAGGCCCTCAGAGCTCTCATTTCTCTCCAAGAAGTGTGACAGGATCTCCCTCGCCTCTTCCAGACACACATGCATTTGCTCTCCCAGTTTTCTCTCTGCAGTCTGTACTGGTAGAGATTTGCTGGGAAGCCTGTGGTTAGAGTTGTAGGGCCTTTGCAGTTGTCTGTGGCTAAGGCACCAAATCACGTCAAAGATGGATTAGGAAAAGCTTTGTTTAAACATTACTTGCACTGAAGATGATCCTGTTTGTTTTTAAGGCCCGACTGCAGATGTCATTACCCAGACAGAAGTGGTCCATGCTGTGCCAGGTACTGACATGACCCTGGTGTTCTTGTTCCCAAAACCGCACAGCACCCACATCATACAGACACAGTGGTCCAAGACTGATGGCAGCCCCTCTACCAAAAAGCTGTATATCACCCCATCTATGGCACCCATTACTTCAGGTTTTCTGAGGCTCCTTACAACTTTTCATGTCCTTCAGCACAAGGATGTGCTGCAGTGGGGACAACACAGGGTCCTTGTGTTCCACCAATCCAAATGTCACATCTGCATGCAATTGGTGGATGCTGCATCTGGAAAATATTACCGTGTCACTTACTGGGCAGTACGAATGCACTTTTGCTACTTACCCATATGGGACAAAGGCCGCAAAAATTCAACTTACTGTCAAGCAGAAGGTAAGTGATTGCAAGGTAAGAGATTTTGCTGTTTCCTAATGAGGTGGGGGAAGATGTCAGGATAAATGGTAGTGATGGTGAGTTTTTTGGGATTCACAGTAGTGGCACTGAATGTTGCTTTTACAGTTTCCTATTTACCAGGCACTCTTTAGTGCACTCTTTACTCTTTTATCCAACTCATGATTAGGAAACCTTAATTGTGTAGTGGAATAAAAAGTTCGATAGTAAAGTAAAAAAAGGTGGTGAGGTGGGCAGTTTCTGCATTTTCATTTTGGATAAATATTGTGGAGGAGACTGGATGAGCAGCTTAGGATATGGTGGGATTAAGGATGTTGGATCTTCAAATCATGGGCTGCTGCTGCTGTGGGTGTGCAGCACTGGGCACCAGGAAGAGAAAACACCCTTGTCTGATTGAGACTGAGGGCTGGCATCTGCAGAGCCTGCTTGGTGTTAGCTCCATGGAAGGATGAGTGTCCCCACTGATACCTTGTGAAGGCTGACTTAGGACAGAGGCTAGACAGAGTTAAAGAATAAAGTAGGTATTTATTAAAAGGCCTCAAAAAGGTGCCAAGATACACTTTGGGAAGTACAAGAGCCCAGACAGGGCTACAGCCAAGATGAGCCCAAAATGGACAACCAGTCACGAGGTCTCACATTTTTGTAAGTTTTGGTCCATTTGCATATTCAAGTTAATTGTCCAATTATAGCTTTAGGTTATGAAGTCCCATCCTTCTTGTTTTTCTCTCTTCAGTCCACATTGTTTATGCTTTTGGGCCTGAAACTAGTATTGATTGTCCTTAGTCCCAAGCTAGAAAAGGAATTATTTTGTCTACCTACTCTGTGAAGAAAGTTTACCAAGCCTTAATATGAAGTTCAGAACTATACACTAAAGCAGCACAGAATCTGAAAAATCTAAAAGTTAAAACTTAAGGCATCACCACCACCCCCAAAAATACACTGGAGCAAAGTGGGGAATTGTGTAGGAGAATCACAGGAATGGAGATTTGGCTGCTTCTGTCAGGCAAAAGGAAGCTGGAAGGCAGCATGACTGCTCTCGGTAAGTAAGCCTCAGGGGAGAGTGTAAACTCCAGGGAGGATATTTAAATTATTGTTAAAGGAACAAATTTATTTAAATCAGATGAGAATGGATTTGACAACAAATTAAAAAACAGTGGCAGCTGTCAGTGTAGCAACTTTGGGAACAGCTATTTAGTGTCAGCAGTGAGGGCAAAAGCCCAAACTGCTGTGAAGATGGAACTTCGCATGGATTTTGAGCCAGCCTGTTGTTGTGCACATGGGGAACTGGATTTGATGACCTCAGAAACCTCTTTCTGACCCAGGTTTCTGCTAACAACTCAAGAAGGATTAAAATAAACAGCAAACCTGGCACTGTTTCAGTTCAGAACAGCAAGGCCAATGTGCTCACTCTGCTTGTAGACACAGCGGACATTCAAGAGTTAGGAGTAGGGTGGGTGCAGGTTATTTTAGGGGTATTTTGATGTGCTTCCACTGCCCTTTTACCTACATCACAAGGCCAGACTGGTAGCCCCCATGCTGGACCATGTTGCTCCCGTAGCAAGAGGAGGTCCTGCGCAAGACTCATACTCAGGGATGTTTAACACTGATGGCCCCTGCATGGCAGTGACTCCAATAATTTTGGTGCTGTTATCCTGGAGACATATCTGGGGCAACCCTGTGGTACCTGCCTGCCCTGATGAACTCGCAGAGGCAAAGTGAGAGCCAGCACCTCTGCCCAGCTCACAGAGGATGGGTGTGTTTAAACAGTACATGCCAAATAATTGTGCCAAAGCTGAAGCTGCCACTCTGCCCGCTGTATGAGTGTGTGTTGTGGTAGGCTACTTTTTGGAACTTCCTTGTGCTCCACAGGGCAGAGGGATCAAAAGGAGTGCCGTGAGGTACAAACCATGCTGGTAGCCCTGTGAAACCCTCCCATGCTTCTGTTCTTCATGCAAAGTTTCTCTGTCTCTTTCTTAGTACAGTAACTGAGCTAATCAGGCATTGCTTCTCTTCTTCTGCTCTTCATTGATACAGACGGGTTCAATGCTGTTATTGCTGTCTACAGTTTGGGCAGCCCTTGTTCATATCAGCATCATTCTGGCTTTTTTCAGTAACCACAAGAGGTAGCCAGCTGCGCTACTGATGACTGCTTGCTAGAGAGAACTAAAAAATTGAGTTTGCCTCCTTTTGCAGGTTTGTGTTTTAAGGTAACCAGATCTTTTGCAATAAACCACTCTGACTCAAAAGAAGGAAAAAATCCTTAATCCAGCCTATGAGTGAGTGGGATGGATAAAGGTGACAGTCTATGATGACGTACAGTTTTTATTTACATCAAAGTGAAATGAATCCAGATGCAGTCAACTTGTAAAAAGCTCACAGAGCAGCAGGCCTTCATAGGACAGACAGACAGTCACAGAGGACTCTAGCCAACAGGCTCTTAATGGAGATTGGAGTCAGAGATGGGAGGGGGAAGCCAGCAGCTGGGACATGTGACTGTGAGAGTAGGCAGAAGCTGCTCCCAGACTGAGCTCTGGGATGACTGCTCATCTCCATGCTTGTTGTACTGTGCACAGCACTTTTGCATGGTGGTTTGTCACAGCAAAATCTTCTGTACAGTTTTGTTCCTGGAGAAACTATAGATTTACTTGCTTTGTCCTTTCATTATCCTCTCCGCACTACCCAGCTCTGTTAGGGCTTCTGTGCTCTCTGTCCTGCTGCAAGAGCTGGCTCCCCAGGTCCCTCACTCTCAGGGACAGTGGAGGGAAGCTGCTTCTGCTGCTGGCTCTCCCGGGCACAGCTCAGGGCACTGCCTTTCTTCACATCTTTGTGGCACAGGCTGATGCTGGCACCATTGCTCTGTGCTTGGGTGCCAAGTACGAAGGAAGTTTCAGTCACCAGAAAGTCCCCTCTGACAAATAACATGGCAGTCTGGGACAGCTGGATATTTTCACTCCCCTCAAGATAAGAAATAAATTGAATACATACCTGTTCTATCTCAACATGCAAGCCCGAGCTACCAGGGGAGAAGAGCTGAGGAGATTTCCTGTGCTGAGTGCTGATGCCTTGCCTCCAAGGAAGGCAGGCCTGAGGGCAAAGAAGGATGGCAGGATGTGCCACATCCCTGCCTGCCCTGTGGCCAAGGGTCAGAGAGGTCTGTGCTGACCATGGCACTCAGAGCATCTCCCACCCATCACCACTGCTCTTCCTGCTTAAATACACACATGCACAGTTACAGACCCAACATCTGGATCACAGCACTGTTCACTGCACCACTCTGGCCAGCCTCCACAGCTGGATGGAGCCCTGGATTGAGAATGGGTAGAGTAGGAGGTGGTGAAATGGCTTTTGAAATGGGTAAGAAAGGCAAGAGTGACAAGTTTTGTGGTAGTGGGCAGGCTGGAGAATAACAAAAGGAGCACTTACACTGAAAAACAGGGTTAGTCTTAACCTAACTGACATGCTGAATAGCTTGCTTAGTGAAAAGAAGGTCTCTGAAGATATCTTCAGAGAAAAGGAAATAGAGGTGCACAAAATTGATGTGAAGGTTTATTGCCACAGAAAAAAAGAATTGTAGATAAAAATTGTAGCTTCCAATTATTCTCAGCTCCTAAAGGAGACATCGTGATCCTGCAGTTAAGAAAAGCTTTTTTAAGAATTGCCAAAAAGTTCTGGTAATGCTGTGAATTGAGTCATGAAACTGTAACTAGAATCAGATGCAGGGCTTTCACTTAAAAAAATGTGTCTAGGTGTAATGGTTGAAAATTACAGTTCCCTTCTAAACCAAAAAGTGCCTGTTCCTTGAATAGAAGACTAGTTAGCATTGGTTGTCAAAGCACAATGAACATCATGTTTCTAATTTTCCTTCTTCTGTTTTGTTGTAGTTGTTCCAATGATAAAAGAGGAAAGGCACTACCTGAAGAAAGTGTGGTTAAAGCAGACTTTACAAATTCCATGCCTTGAGGACGAGACCTCAGAAAATTTGTCCACTTATCCTTTGAAATGGTTAGTGGTAAGTACTTTTCATCTCAGATATAAAGTTCAGAAAAAACTACAGGGTATTTTTGTAGATTGAAATGAAAATGTTCTACTCCAATGTGTCCTGCCTGCAGAATCTGCTAAAAAACTTATCAGTTATATTGGACTATGATAATAAAGGGGAAAAGTATAACCATAGATACATTGCAAATAATAGCTGTTAAAGAAGCAAAGAGGAAAATTTCCATCTTAATTGCTTTGAATTTTTCAGGAGCACATACAGAGCAGGTCTAGGGAAAATGGCTAATATGACAAAACTAAAATATTTCTTGTATTGGATTTCCGGCGAGTTTTTCTGTAGTGAAGCTTTAGTATCTGAAAAATACCTGGTTACTGTGTAGGACAGTGAGATATCAGGCTGCTTTGACACAGAAAATAAAGGTACTGGCAAATGCATTTGGTTTTGTGAATCTCTGTGTCACAGATGCTGCTGAAGAGATGCAAACCCAGTTATCAAGCTAACCACATGAAAAACTGGTTTTAAGCAATTTTCTGTCAGATACGAAGCTTGCTGTATTTTTGTGCTTTGTCTCACTTTCTGGATAAATATTTATATGCATGTTTTAATGCAACCTTTTAGTATTCATTTCAGTGTGTACAGACAAGTATCAGTGAGCAGTGTCCTTGAGCTTTTCCTGTTCATTTATATATGTTGTCACTGAGAAGCTGTAACTGTTGAGGATTTCCTTAAAGGTGATTTTCAAATAGTTTAGGTTTTTAAACCTTCTGTCCTGGTTCATTATCTATTCAGATCTCCCTTCTACAGGTCATTCTTAATATTAAAATTTTAAATCTTTTTGTAGGGAACACCCTTACCTTTACTACATCAGTTTTGCTGGTTCACTCTACAAAGTAGCAGAGGAAAGGGGAAAAAAAACCCCAAAGATCAGCACACTTATATATGTGGGTTGCCACACATCGTACAGAGTAAAACTTGCAAATATGTACTGAGGCACAGATGTCCAGGACATGCTGGCTGTACTTATAACCAAGGGTGGCTGCCACACAGACAATAAGAGAGATAAATTTTAGTTATTATTATCAGGGTTTTCTACTTAAAATTCTAAAAGAGCAAAGTTTTCCTTGAAATTTCAGTTGCATTTAATATGTATGGGATGTTCAGCATAATTTGAAGACTGGTGCAGTGAGAAAGCACCTCTGTTGCTCTCTCTGCAGGATACAGAGATCAGAACTCACAAGACACAGCTATTTATTCCATATTTTATTGTCAAGATGACAACTGCTCTTGGTATTGAAGTTCTGAGAGAATATATTTGGAAAAAAAAAACCCAGATGTTTCAAATGTCCACTTACTGCTACACAATATGCAAGGGAAGATTTTCATAGTGGGAATAGAGCTGGTTTACAAAAATATTTCTCTGTGTGTGTGTCCGAACTTCACAATTTTGTTGGTTTTTCTGTACACAGGATGAAAATGGGAGGAAAGAGGAAATTGTGACCAAGGAGCCCTCTTGTCCTGCTGTGTACAGGAACAGCAGGATGCTGTATGGGCAGGCAGTCCTCCTGCGTTTGAGCAATGCCCTAAAGGTTTTCCCCACCAAAATCACTGATGATGGCAGTCTTTTCCTGCTACGTGCTGCACCACCCAGAGAGAGTCCAGAAAAGCAGCACCACTGTGAGAGTATTTGGTAAGGGGCTTATGCCAATTGCCTTGCCCTTGGAAAGGTGACACTCCTGCCTGGTTCTGAAGCCAATAACTTTTGACAGATACTGAGTTTTCTTTAAATGTAAACATACTCACCTTGTCATTTTTTTCAGCTGCATTGACATAAAATGTTAGTAAATAGTAGTAAACCCTGGAGTTCTTAGAAGAATTTGAGTCCCTTCCTTCAGTTTCTGGCAAGAAAAAATAGTAGATTCATATGTGCACACTGTGATGCAATAATCTACCCTGATGTGTAGGCTTATATTGGGATTCTGTGGGTTACAGGGAAGCACAGTGGTCACCAAGATCTTCATGTCCCAATAACCATGCTGTCTGTGGTCAGGAAATCATGGCCATAATTTAGTAAGGAGTTTGGGACTACAGTTGTAGCAAAATCACATCCTCAAAGGCATGTGACATTCAGCTGCTGACAAAATGAGGAAATGAGGGTCCTGGTGGGGGTCTCAAATTGGCCAAGAGTGGCAGAGCCTGTGTACTGCAAACATGTGGGCTGGCATTTCATTTTGTAAGCCTTCCCCATCTTTAGTTACTTGCCTTGCTCCATTTCAAGTGGCTTATCACTAACAATCAGAAAATTGCTATCCACTTAAAAACCAGGCTTTCTTTTCTCTTTAGAGATCAGTTGGTCAGGAAAACATATTTCCAAAGCTTTGAAAGTAAATGAGTGTTAAACACTGGGCCTGTGTTTAGGCCCTTGACTGTAGCTGATTGTCCAAGGAAGCCCACAGCTTGTGGATGGCATGGCCATTCAAGGCTGATGCTCTGAATTCAAAGAAAAGTTCAACAGGGAGCAGCTGAAAAAAAGCAAAATGTGTCTGAGGGCTGTTGGTCACTGAGGTAAAAGAAATAAAAATAGACGTTAATGATCTGAAACCTCCTCTTGTGTTTGCATGATTCAGCCACTTTTTGAAATCAACATGTCTCAAATACCAACAGTGTCACCTGGGTAATCATTAAAGGACACTAATAAACTTGAACTCTCTCTTCCATCACTGCTGATGCTCTTGCCTAGATTTGTGTATCTCTTACTAAGAGGTTGCTTTATTTAGCTTTTTCTCTGAATTACTGAGAGATACGTGCTTAGCTATGCATGAACCCACATCAAAGTATCAGTACAGGAGGGTAGAGAGGCAAACTAGAGAAAGCAGCTGTGGCCCTTGGTGGTGAACAGTCTGCATTTCCCAGTAAGTGCTGGCTGGCTTTGGAGCAGGGTGCTGTGCCACCAGCCTCTCTCGCAGGGGTGCCAAGGGCAGAGCTGGCTCCCTGAGAGCCTTGAGGTTTGCAGTGGGTACTGAGGAAAGTCTCTTAGACCTCAGCTAAGTAAAGTCCACCACTCGGAGGAAATGTGCTTCTAGCCCTTTCATGTCTGAATTTTGCAGGTGAAATAACTATTTTGCATCTTGTCTCACACTTTCCTGTTACCATTTGCTGAAGTCATGCCACTTTTGATTGCACCATCCCAGCCTTTCTCCATGTGCTCCCTTGTGCCCTGAGCCAGCCCACATCCCTGCACAGCACTGGCAGAGACACTGTCCAGGATAATCCAGCATTCTCTAGGTGACATCTGGGGACAAAGATCTCTTTCAGATGGCAGCACCTCTCTTGTTCCTTGTGCTGACCAGAGAATAAAGAAATGAATATTTGTGTTCTGGCAGTTAGATCCAGCCTCACATGGGTGGGACAGAACCTGAAGACAGTATATGCATACAAAGTCAACAGCACCTTATGTTGGTTGTATCTGTCTTTCTGGCCATTAGCAAGGGCACAGCTAGGGAAGAAGCCCAGTGGAAACCTGGGGAGGTTTTCCCTTCTTGGCAAGCCAGCATCACCCCTGTCACCCAAACACTCATGCAATTGAACCCCTCAGGCTGGGTGGCTTAAAAGTAGGGCAGGGAGGGCAGGCGGCTATTGCAGCACAGAGCTGGAAGGGACAGGAGGAGGAGGAGGAGAAGGCGCCTGTGGGAAACTCCTCATGCAGGATCCCTCTGGAAAATACTTCAGGCAGGGCTAAACACAGCAGAGGCAGGCCAAGTCTGAGGAGTGCCAAATAATTTTCCCTCACAGCTGCTTGAGGTGGCCCAATGGGGCTGAGAATTGGGCCGGAGAGGATGGAGAAGGCATGAAAAGATCGCTCAAGGAAATTGAGAGTCTTGGTATGTTGGGTAAAAACAGACATTCAATCAAGATAGCTTTTTTTAGGAGGGTGCTTTTGGATTTAAATACTTTAAAATATTTCTCTTCTAGAATAGAGTTCTTTTAGATACAAGTTGCTGTGAAAAGGTATGGCCTTTTCATGTCAAACTTTGCCAAATATTGATTTCTCCTTTTTGGTGTAGGAGTGTGCCCCCTGTTGACAGAGTGACAAAACTATGCTTTGTCCCCCTAAAAAGGAAAGAAGCCCAGAAGTTTCTCTCATCGATTAGGTAAAAAGCCACCTCATTGGACCCCAGGGACTTCACCTCAAACTTAAGGGCAGCTAACTGGATAGAAGCCAAAAAGTCCCGCCTGACCAATTGGGTAGAAAAAGAAGAGAACAAAGGAACTAGGGGTTTTTGTGAAGTGTTTTTACCAGGAGTAGATCTCTTGCATCTGGCTCCGTTTTTTCTGCTTGTTATTTTGCCTTTTATTAAACCTTTTTGTTTCCAACACTGCAACAGAAGACATCCTGCTTATTTTATGCCTCCAAAGGTAGCTGAGCTATCTTGGGTGTATTATATTCCTCTGAGAGCTTATAAGACCCGGCTTGAGGAAGAAAATATAATATTTTGTAAGAGTAAAAGCTCAACAGGAGAAACTGCTGAACTAAATATTGAATTTCTGCTAGATCCAAAGCATTGGTAAATATCCTAGCAAGACAAATTAATGTCAAAGTGTTAACAGGGGCTGAGATGTTAATTAGAAAAGATCTATTAGACCTTTCAGAGCTATGCATGAAAGCTGCCTGCCAGAACAGCTACCCAGCAAACACATCTGAGAAAGCAGAGGACAGCACTCAATACAGGTGTGGCAAAGCATACCCATTCTCATGAAAAAGACAAAAGGAAGAGCATGCACTAGACCAGACATCATTTAGCCTCCCAGCCAACTTCTGCAGCAATTAGAGGATCCAGTTTACCAGACTTTTCCCTGCATCCAAAAAAGTTTGTCTGTCTTCTGCCAGCTCCACTACCACCTGTACAGTTTTGGCAAAGAAGAAAGAATGAAATCTTAGGACACTCATTTCCTGATAGGAAGAATCTATAACCCCTGCCCCACCCCACCCTCCAAAAAAGCAGAAAAATTCAAAATCCAGAAGAGATTAAAAAACCAGGAAATTCCACTAAAAAAAAGTACCATAAGTCCAGAAAACCAGAAGGCCATGATAACTAAATGTAAGTCATGCCCAGGCAGAATCCATCAGTAACATCAGGCAGAAAAATGGAAATTTAAAATGAAGTCAGGAGAGTCCTTGGTGGATTGGCTGTTTAAAAGAGGGAAACTTAGATAGTTCACCTCAGGGGGGATTGTAATTAACTGAGGTAGTCCTATACCAATTAACAGGGAAAGAAAAATAGAAAATTATTTTAATGGTGGAGATTAAAGTGAGGTTTAGATTGGAAAGATAAAGAATTTTGGATCTCCTAAGTAATTCAGGGAGAGCACTTGTTTCCAATCCAGTTTCAGGGCTCAGAAAGGGCCAGAAGCCAAATTTATCTGAGGCTTTTGAGATTTGTTATACATTAACACAGTTTCAATAGTCCTTACTTAAGAAGTCAGCCACTGTTGCTCCAAACCAGGCATCCCAATGGCTAATTTGGAAATGTAGTTTAGAGAGGCTTAGGGTACCTGATAGCTTTACTTTATACAATCAGCTGTGCTCAGAACCAAAATGCTGCAAAAAACCAGAAGAAAACAGTTTTTTGTTTCATGTGGATGTGGTCATCAGTGCTCTGCTGTGAGGGCGAGCTCTGGGCTTCCTGGCAAGGCAAGAGGCATCTGTGGGGACACTGTCACACATCTGTCCAGGCAACAGCATCTGGGTAGCTGACATCCAAAATCAATCAGCATTTGGGGGATGACTAAAGCCTTTGGAGATGCCTTTGTCAAGCACACAGAGGAACCAGGAACTGGGATTTCATGGGGCTCGGGAAAGGTGGCTCTGCTGCTGGAGCTGTGACTGCAGGATGGTTTCAGTTTGTTTCCCCAGCAAAGCCACCCAAGCCTAGTTGAGGTAGGCGGTGAAATGCATCCTGGATCCTGTGGCAATAGCTGGTGATACAGTCTTATAAACCACTTCCTTGACCTCAAATTGCAGCTGTAAACACTTTTATCTTGCTTGATGTGTGGCTGGAGGTAGGATTTAATTTCCACTCTTCTTACAATAGAAGGCTGTTAAGTGTTATTAGGAGCTGTTACTGTGATCTGCAGTGTCCATTTCACTAATGCATTTATGTTTGCTTTCCAGCTTACCCTGAGATCTTCATCAGCCAGCACCTCACAGAAGGTGTGCAATTTTGGAGCAAAGAGTGTTGCCTGTGACTGCCACCATGCCACCCCAGCAAGGCCAGGCAAGCTGAGCTGAATCAGGCACAGGAGGCATCTTCCAAACTGACAGAGCTCACAGGGCAGCAGGCAAGGCATTGAGTTAACTCGAGGTGCTCGCGCCCTTTCCTCTGAGCCACTGCCACCCCCACAGCAGTGAGCACAAACCAGGGACTTCTAAGGACTCCTCTGCTGTGTGGGCCTCTGTTTCAGTTTTGGTAATAGCAAAACCTAAAAGCCTGCTGAATTGCACTGGCCAAGCTTTGTATAAAACATATTTATGGCTCATATGACTGACTAGTAAGCCTCTCTGGCTATTAGGTATGGTGCTTTGCTTCCTGTTCCATGTCTCCAAGTTAAACCTTTTGAGCTGCAAGTAAATCTCAAATCAAGAAGGTTTTCCTTGGAAACAGAGCTTGTGGGCAGGCAGAACCTTGTACTATCCATAACCACCCACTTCACACAATCCATGAGTCAGCTGGTTCTGCAAACTGGTGTAATTTTCCTGGTGACCTATTTCTGGTGTGGTGTTGGACATTGCAGGCTTTTGTCTGCACTGTCCTGTTGAACAGAGCAAGGGGTTCCTGCTCTCACAGGACTGTGAAATGGAAACTCCCCTGAGAGCCTCTGTCTGTTCTTCACCTCCAAACAAACGCCGACTTGTTTTCTTCTCTTTTTTGCCTTTCTTGCAGGGCTTAAATCTAGTGAGGATATCAGATTTCTGTTTCTTTATAGGAAGGATTGATAAAGTATTATGATATAAAAGTGCCTGAAAAATAAGGGAATAATGAAGAGGAAAATGGGAGAAAGCTCACTACAAGCTCAGGTGCTGTTTACCATGGCAGGGAAAGAGTTTCAGCTGGATAGTTTCAGTCTTCGTACTGAATGATTGACTTCTGCTGGCTTCAATACATCAAGCTTGCTTCCAACTAAATGTGGGAACCACTTTCTTTGAATGAGGGAGCAAGAGAGGTTTGTGCTGCATGAGTAGCACATGCTCTTTTCTTCTCTTGAAATGAACAAGGCCATTTCTCTTATAAAAGTGTTTAGTACTTAACAGCGTCATAACCTGCTAAATAAACATACTTGGGAATGTCCGGGCAGCATGAGGATGAGACCTCTCACCCTTCTAGAGCCCAACCCTTCACCTAGCCTTGACTTTGAGGTCCTGCCCATCTATTGTTTGCTGAGAAATTAAACAGAGCACAAACACAGATCTTTGGAACAATTGGCATAGAACCAGGACTACTGCATCTAAAGCATCTACTTTGATTTCTGGAAATGGCATACATATTCTGTCTGCTACAAAGGTATCATATTCAACATATCATTGGGCTAGGCAGTCTTTTTCATAGGAATTGTCTCTATCTGCCTAATGAAGAAAGGATTTACATGGCAATCAGAAAGTGTCTTATTCTCATCACACACACTGTGCCCGTTACCAGTTCCAGTGTTTTTCCATGTGAGTGTTTGTCACTGGGAGCAGGAGAGTGGGCACAGGAGAGTGGGGGTCACTCTACATCTCCCCAGCCACAGCACAGGACTGGAGGGAGTTGGAGTCCTGACACCCAGGGCAACAGGGCTGTCCCTGGGCTCTCATTCAACAGTGTCTGCAATCAGAAAAATGAGAGGAGGGGGCAAGAAACACAATAAGGAGAAAGCAAGTGCTTCCTTCCAGAGCAGGATTGGGAGTAAGCAAGCACTGTCCGTGCAGGAGTTTGGAAGCTGGCAGCCAGGAGGGAAATGTCAGAGGCTCACCTAACATACATACATATATATCTGTGTGTGTGTGTGTAACCTAACAACTGCCTTGTGCTGCCCCACAGCCTCATGTGAGCTGTGTCGTGAGGAAGGCATTTCCTAAGCCAAGCCTCCTGTGGTACATGGACAGAGTGAGCCTGACAGAGCAGCCTGCAGGTAAAGCAACCTGTCCACAGAGAAACAGCACAGCTGCAGGAGTGCTGCCCAGGGAAAGCCACGACTCTTATCCACTTCTGCCCCAGGGAAACTGTAGGTGTCTATGTGGCTGAAGGGGAGAGCAGCAGGCCTCCTCAAAGGAAACAGCTGGCAAAAGGCTGTGACCAGAGTCCCCTGCCAGGGATGGGAACTATGGTTTGGCATGGCCACACCATTCTTGCCAATGTGAAATGGCAAAGAAACAATGCCAATTGTCTCAGCAAAGAAACCTGTGGCTATATCAGCCTGCTTTCCAGTACTAATATTTTGCACAGCTCTGACTTAGAGTTTGGAGTGTAACAAGAGGGTCTTTTCTTTTTTTTTCTGTCCCAAGGAAATTTCTGTGGTACAAGAAGACTTGCAAGACAGTGAAGGTTTCTATGCATTGAGATGAACACTGATGCTGCAAGGGACCCATAAGACACATAAGAAATTCTTATGTGTGTGTCTGTTTCCCTTCCCAGAAAATGAAACACAGAATATTTCATCTGAAGAAATATTTGTTTCCTTCGGTAGGTTTTTCTTAGATAGGACACTTCTAAAATGTTAAGAACACCAAACACATGTATTCTCTTGTTATTTAAAATACTGAAGAAATGCCAATAGTATAAAAGCTTTATTGTACAAGTTCATCAAGCAGTTTGAACTCTCTGGCAGGTTTTTTGGCTGAAATCTTTGCTCAAGCCTCTGAATGAGCTAAGAAACTTCTGCACAAGCAGAAGACTCTTATTTGTTTAACCAGAATCTTGCTGTACTTCCCATACCCAAAGATACTCTTAACACAGCCACAAGGCACCAGTGAGCTGTTATAATTATGTGTTTCTCATGGAGCACTTGTGGCTCCCTGAGAAATCAAATCCTCAGACTCAGGGCTATGTTATACACCTTCAGTAAAACATGCAAAAGGCTGCACCTCTATGGGTAGTGAAGAAACTCCTTTATAATCTGTATTGTAAGATTTAGCTACATGATTAGGGAAGTGGGGAGAAATATTTTCCTGCTTTTTTGGTAAAAGCAGGAGATTCGGCAGTACAGTTTTCAGCACTTCTGATGATGCAGGGTGACTCGTGAGAAGGGCAGACAGATTTCCTTTAGCACCCCCTTGTGCATGTCTCCTCTTAGGTGCAAATGCATATTTATACCTTTTCTTATTTTTTTAAATTATGCGTGCTCCCTGCTGCACAGAGAAAACAACTGAGCTGCTGACCCCTTAGCAGCATCTAGGGATACATCACCTACCATGGCAACTATTTGCAGCTCAGCTGAGTACTCTTGTGGCTGTGTATATTCCTATTGATATGTTTTTCCACAAAGTAAGACTGCAGCAAAAGGCACAGCTTACTCCTCTGGAAACATAGCTTCAGAAGGGAGGGAGATAAATCGTAACTTTTTCTCAAAAATTACTTATTTCCCCCAATTTGCTGTTTTCTAGAAAATTTATTCATATCAAAGAGCTGTCAGTCAAAGCAGTCTGTGTTCTTGCCTGCAGGCTATGCTAATGCTAAGATAGATCCACTCTGTATAAAAATGTTAAAGTATTTAGATGTGACAGAAAGGAAAGAATTACATTAATTCTCAGCCATCCCTTCTGCGAAGGTGCACAATATGACACAAGCCCAAACTAAATTTTCAGCCTTTATAACTACTTTTAAGAACTGCATTAATCTTTCTCTTTTTTCTCCCATCACAGACAATAAGTATAATGAAGCCTCCTGAAGTTTTTACTACCACGGTTTCAGATGGTAGGATAAATTAGAGAATAAAATAACTTTGGTTGTGTTTGAGGTGTGTTTATAAAGTCCTAAAGCTGTTGTAGCATTTACTACCCTAAATGGGTAGTAAGGAACCCCTTTCTGCAGCTTTGACTTCACAGAAAATACTATAAACCAATATTTTGGTGATGTAATCTATTATAATTAAGACCAAGCATAATTAAACTCCATCCTTGAGAGGCATTTAATGTTATTTCTGATGCTTCAGCTGGCATCTGAATATAGCTCTTTCAGTACTGAACTAGTAAGTAAAAATAACAGCCCTGCTAATGGCTCTACCTTCTGTTTAAGCACAGAGCCAAGATCCTCAACATTTTTGCCATGTTAAAGAACTGATATAATGTTTCTTAATTTGTGTAAATTTGGTAAATCCCTGCTCTTCCCCTGCAAGTTTGTCTTATTATCAGCTTATTGCAGACAGATAAATGTTCCCTCCACACCTCAGCTGAATCCCTTTGGAAACATCTCTCCTGGAGCAGTTTGCTTTCCTCTGCTCTGCATGGGAGGCAGCATGTAGCAGGGGGTTACATGAGTTTGTCAGAGAAATGCTGTAAGTAGATGGCATGAAAAAAAGTACGGGTTTGGTGAGAAACTTCGGCAAGTGCAGGTTGCAGCCGGCCCTGGGGGCTCAGCCAATACCCACAGAAAACCATCCCAGATATTGGGGGGCCCTGAGAGAGGGATTATTTTTCCTCTACTGGCCTCTGCAAGATGAACTCAAAGGAAGCCTAGCAGCTCACATCAGGCCACCACCCTGCTCTGTCTTGGACGCTCTGCAGAACCCTCTGGGAGCCAGGCACATCTCAAAGAGCCTCTGGTTTTTAGACCTGTTGCATTTTTGGTAAGGAGTCCTTTATGTCAGCCAGCTACTGTGAAATCCCTGTTAGTGCAGGCAGGCCTAAGCTGAAATGCAAATGAAAGAGCAGCAGTCACAGGAGGTACAAGTGTTAGCACAGAAAAGCAGCTGCAGGGTGGATGTCACCTGCCTGTGCTAAGATCCAGTCTGCAGTGCCACTCAGTGCCCTCCACACGTGCCTGACGAGACAGAGGCACTTTCTGGCTGCCTTCTCAGATATATTTTTCTAATGAAATGTGTGAGCTTTAATAGATCAGTTCCTTCATGGACCTCTTTGAGGGGGACATTATCCATCCTTCTGGCCCACTCAGGAAGTACTTTGCCTCTCCTGCTGGGAAAAAATAGGAAAGAAAACAGACATCTAGGTCTGCTTGGGCAGGATGCTGTCTCTGCTGAGCTTGCCTGTGTGGTTAACAGTTTTTAATTAGAAGGAATAATGCGTCCTCCTCTTCTCTGAGGACTCAGTGAGCATGTTTCAGTGCAGAGTGTCTCTGAAATTTCCCCTCAGAGTTGCAGCGTCTGAAGTGCCTCATGTATGAAACTGTGCAGGTGCCACCACCAAGTCATAAATGTTGTTTCAGCATCTGTGCTAATATGGTGCCTCTTTGTATGGAATAAACCCATGTGATTCATTTCTGGTTTTTAAGTTGAGGTACCAAGGGCTCCAAAGTTTTTCCCCAAAACCTTTGTTTCTCTAAGGATTTCTCAGCACAGTTACGTCAGGTATTTCATGTTTCCGTCTGGACTACTTGTCTGGGTTGCGCATTGAAAGATTATTTGGAATTTAGGTGCAATACACTTTCTTGCTCCTGAACCTTTCAATCATCCACTTTCCTAAAGCAGAATAAACACCTTTCTCATGCTGAATGTTTACTTTGATTTGTTATAGACTTCGGTAATTCAACACTTACATCAGCTGTCATGACAGCCTCAGGTAAGGGGGCAAATATTACTTATTGAATATATGTAGTATCTCTACTTTAGCACTGCCTAAATGTCATGCACCAGAGTCAGAGGTGTGACAGGCAAAGGTCAATATGTGCTGGTGCTGACAGCACCAATGTGCTGCTGCTTGGGAGCTTGTGAGCTGTGAGGTTACCCCAGCAGACATCTGACAGAAATCTTGCTAAAACTGCCATGTTAGGACAGCATGTTAAATGGCATGCTGAATATTATATATCATTCTTACGTATTTTTTTAAAATTGAGTTATTTGCCAATAAAACTGTAAATAAATTTGTCCTATTGTGACAGAGAGGTGCATATGATAGAAAAGTTAAAGCCATCACTTTTCCTTGACCCAACAGCAGGGCATCATTCCCATTCATTAAGTATATAATTAACTCTGTTTTACCAGAGCATGGATATGGATAATTACATAGAACTACCTTCAGCAATTGAGAGGAAAACTCACAAGAGCAGGTGATCTCCTGGGCTGATGTGGCTGTGGCCTGTTGTCACGGATGATTTCTGGCAAGGCCCTGGCTTAGCTGGGGAGCACCACATTCAAGTCCACGATCCACCCCAGAGCAGTCAAACCAAACCCTGTGTACAGAAGCACAAATAAGCAATGCCTGCAGCCAGCCAGCAGGAAAGGGTCAGCATTGATAACATCAGCTGCCTTGCAAGTGCCCACTGGAGTTGTGCTTTGAGCATTTAGCCTTAACTCCCACAGCAGGACTTCTGCTGCTCAGTCTGCATTTACCCAGCAGCTACTGCAAGCTCTTTGATCTAGGTTGTTTTGTGATTTATTAACATTATTTTCTGAAGAACCTATTGAGTAAGTGTGATACCATGTTAATTGTCTTTAGAGCACCAGTCGACATCTGTGGCCTCTCTGGATTTCACAAGTCCAGAAAATTTGACTCCTGCTTCCACAACACAAGGTAATCAATTGAATCGAACTGTTTTCTCTATTGCTTCAACATTGTAATAGAAAAACACATAAACACAATAACTATCTTTTTTTTTTTTTTTTGAAGCTAGAAATTTAATGTCCATTGAAGTTCTTTTCCTAGTGCTTTACACACTAACCACTGGTTGCACTAACCACTGTCAGTGTAACCACCGTTCAGGAATAAATATATGAGAAAATACTTGGTTTTATCTTTTTTAATGCTCTGTTTAGGATATATTCATTAATTTTGGCAACTGAACAGACATTGAGTGTTATTAGCGTTTACAAAAAGTTAATTATTGTTATTATAGTGTTTATGAATAATACCTACTGTCTTTAGTTAAATATCATGCCTAAATAGAACACTGGAAGAAGATACTAAACACAAGGCTTTGGCCTTCCCTAAAGAGTGCTCTTTGGGAGCTGAATCACTCAACATAAAGCCCAGGAGCTTGCAAAGGCTTGACTGAGATATGCCAAGGCAGGAACACAGATTGCAGCAGTGCTGAAATGAAAGTTTGCTGCTTCTCAAACTGCCTTCCCCATCCCCAAAACAGAGACACTTGCCTGGCTGAAAGCAGAACAGCAAAGTTGCTTGTCCAAGTGGACTGAAAGCCCTGCCATCTCAACAAAAAAACTCACAACAAAGGCTATAAATAAACAATGTGAAGAGAGAGGGTTTATCCTCACTGAATTATACATTTTCCTTGGTTGAGGTGGTACGAGGTCACACTTGTAATGTAAGGTGGATCTGAGCCATTTTTCTTCTGCAAGTAGCCTGGGAAGCAATTGCCTTTTCACCAGTGGTCCCAACAAGTGCCAGTTATGGTATGACAGCCCTGGGTTAGCACTTCTCTCTGGCTCACTGCTGGTCCTCACACTGGTGCCACCCGTGTGCTCAAGATCAGCTTCTTGAGCAAATCCTCTGGGCAACAGTCAGGACAAGACACCAAGCCCAAGCCTTCTGCTTTAGTCTACAGAAGTCTAGCTTTGGTTCAGTTCCTGTTATTTTGCAAGTGAAAATCTAAGAGACGGCTGAGAATGGATATGAGAGAAGAGTGCACGTATATAGGCAAGAGGAGGAAGAGGGGAAGCAAAACCAAGGCTGCTAAAACTGTAGCCTGGTTTTGCTTAGTTTCTACAACTGCTCCACCACTGAGCCAGAGAGGCTTTGAGTGATCAGTTACAGCTGCAGTTCACCTCCGCAGGTTTGTTCAGATGGCTTGATATTTTTCCAAAATGAGACAGTTGTTAAGAAATATGGTTTCTTTTTAGTAAATGTGAAATAGTTCTCTTGGGAAAATGAAGGCCTGCATGCTAGCCACCATCTGTCTGTGTTTGAATATCAGATAAATACCTAGCTGAGCCCTAGAAATCTTAGCACTTAAAAAAATGCTTAAAGGAAGATGTCAAATAAGTTGGTATTTGGCATCAGACATTACAGGTGTGACTCTTGTACTCTAACTTTTTCAAAACTTCCTTTTGGAAGTTGGGAAAACAGTTCTATTGCACTGGAGCTGCTGACATCCTGTCTAAATTCTGATTTATGTATGTTTGTTCATTGCTCTACTGGTTTCAGGTCAAAACCAGCCAGTGCACTCAAGCTCCTGAGGTTTGCCTGAAACTAAGCTGAAATATAAAAATGCTTCAAATGTTTTGTCTAAGTTTATTTTCCTATCTCAGTAAAATTCCTCTTCAGTTTCTAGCTTTCAAAGCAGACACAGCATTGGGTAATGCCTGTCTGAGGGAAGCCAGCATCTTGAGTGGTAGGCTACACCTGTTTGACCTCATTAGTCAGAAAACAGGGAAGAAAGAGGGGGAAATGAAAAACAAATTATATGGTTCTCTACAGCAATTTTTACAAGCCTTTGTGCTTTTCAGCAGGAGCGCTAATTTCTACCGCAGAGGCAAAAGGCTACACCAGTGCCACAGCATCCAGAGAGACTTTGACAGCAGCACGTGAGTACACAACTCATCTTCTTTGCTTCACAGGGCTGGAACAGAGGAGTTATGTAGCCAAACTGCAAATGTGGCACCAGTTTAGTGAATGTTGGGTTGCAAACCTACATTAGTCTGGAGCATCTTGCAAAACCCACAGCAGCAGGTCATCAATTTGTGATGCCTTCTCTCAGAGCATTAGTTCTGTGGTGCTTATTTTCAGCTGCTAGTTGAGAGTCACCACATTACCTTGCAAAAATTATTACTAAGCATGGAAAAGTTGTCTCTGAGCAGAGGCCAAAGTCATGTGGAGTAACGTGTACCAGATTTTCAATACTTCACAGAAGCAATTTCCCTGTTGAGTTCCACCGAGTTAGAAGATAAAGACTTGGGTTTCCAAGCTGCCAAGGACTTGCAGCGGCAAAAGAGGAATGAAAAAACATTTCAGTATCCCCGTTTCATTAGACATATTTCTTTTCATAATATTACAATTGAGATAGTTGCTAGGCAAATGTAGTGAATGCTGAAGGTAGTTTATGGATGAAATAAATTGCCAGAGAAGCTAAATAAAATTGCAGAGCAGCAGTGAAATAATGAGATAATGTGGAGTAATAACGGCTGGCAAATAGAACATTGAAAGACAGCCTCATTAAAGACCAATAAATCAATAAAAAAACCCCTAGGGTGAACATTTTTTCACTAGTCTTTCCCTTTAGAAAATCTCTGCTCAGCAGTATAAAGCCCAAAGTGACTTGCTTTTTTAACATCTTGGTTTGCCTTTGTGATTTTGGAACAGCCAGAACCTGTCCTTTTGTATTTCCATGGGAGTTGTCTTTTGGCTGAAGCACAAACGTAGCAGCTGCTTTCCATTTTGTGAATGTATTTTTGGTAGCACCCACAACGATGCATTTATACCAGAACCTTCTGACAGCTTCTAATGCTTCATAATTCTGCTCTTGCACAGCTTGCTGGTTGCATTTTTTTCTAAAAGCATGCTGAATTACTCTACTATTTGCAGGGGATAGTCTGTGTTGCTCCACACATCCCCATATCCCTGCCACTGCTTCCCTACACCTGTGCCTGCCTGAACACCAGCTAAGATATAACAGCCTTGAAGGGTCCTTGGTCCAGCAGCTGTAGTTGAGGGCAGTTTCGGAGCACACAGGCACCAGTGAGTCTGCTGAGGCATACACATGTATCCCTGTGCCCTCCCAGGGCCACTGTTGTAATCCTACAACAGTGATTACCGTTATCATTGTGGTCTTGGGATGCTCTAACATAAGGCATTATGTAAATAAGAATAAATAGTGCTCATCAATGTGCTGTATAGAGCAAGTGCTATCGGATCTCTAAGTGTATATCCTTTCTTTTTTTGCATATAACTTTGTAAAATGCCATGCATTTTACAAATGTGAAATGTGTCATACCTATTCACATAAAATCAAACACCTGATAAGCAAGTAGAAAAAAACTGAATTAATATCCAAAAATCTCAGTGAATTTTTAGAGTGCCCTAAAACTGGACTGATTTTCATACATCTTTTTAATGCACACATACATACACACACACACACACACACAGATACACTTGCACACATACTCTTGAACTCTCAATTTCAGTCAAAGCCAGCAAGCATCTCACACTAAAGAGATTTTCTTTTAAAGAGATTTACTGGTTAGTTATTTAACTGGTTAGTTATTTACTTCATTTAAAGCTGGGTTTTTGTCTTGGATTTATAAATCAGCAGTTATATCAGAGACTGTCAGGTTCTTCTGTTGTTTAATTTGTTGTGTGCATCAGAGAAAGTCAAAGAGTCCAAAACAGCCACAGTAGAGCGTAATGAAGTAGTCATGTACAGGCTTGCAAGATAACTGAAGGTCATTATTTCTTTTTGTACAAATTTGAATGATTCCACCACTGAATCCCCACATCAGAAGTGCCATGGGAGCTCTGGAAATGCTGTGCCATTGTCTAGTTGTGTATTTGACTATTATTTCAGAAGCTGCAAATGTAGAGATGGCTAGAAAAAACAGAAATGTGTCCTTATGGATCACTGATCTTAAGCATCAGTGGGAAAAAACTGTCTATAAACAGATGAGAGATGATTTTTGTGGTTCAAACAGTACTTGACAGAGGAGACTGAGGTTTTGCTCAGTCATGACAAAGGCAGACTCTTTTAAGTTGCTGCTAAGCCACTTAATGTCTTTATGTTTCTTATTACCATCAAAGAAGTAAAAAGCTTATAATTCTCCCAGACAGCTCTACTGCTCAAAGGTGCCAAGCTGCCTCAATGCTGGCTTGCTGAAACATCTTAACTAACTCTCTTTTCTTTCTCTTTCCTTTTCTTTCTTTCTTTCTTTCTTTCTTTCTTTCTTTCTTTCTTTCTTTCTTTCTTTCTTTTCTTTCCTTTCTTTCCTTTCTTTTTCTTTCTTTCTTCTCCCTCTTCCCCCTTCCCTTCCCTTCTTATAATATTTCATTTGATAAAAGCACTTTTTTTTTTTAATCCAACACCAGGTCATAGGCCAAAAATGTAGGCATCTTGCCAAGAAAATTTTTACACCCTGATCCTGGAAATTTCTGGCTTTGGAATTTTCAGCTGGGTGAATAACAGAGGGTTCAAAACCTTTCATTTTTGAAAAACAAAGTTAAGTTACTAAAAATGTTCTGTGCCCATATCTTTATAGGTAACCTATCCTACAGCATCACAGACCAGACAATTTCAGTTACCAGAGGAAAAGATTTCTTTCCTACCAGCAGCCTGCTGAACAGTACTGGTGAGACACTATCCTACAAATCCTCTTCTTTCAGCATGCCACTACAGAAGCACGAAACCTGGAGGATCATGTACATTTGACCAGGGGATTCCAAAATAAGGGAAAACAGATGAAAAGAGGAGTCACAGCTGCTGTATCCTCATATCACAGGTTGTCACAGGCTTTTGGCATTCCAGCCTTCTCCCCACATCTGCAAGCAAAATTCCAGTGCATGCTTTCTTCCAGCAACAAAATTTGGCCAGTGATACTCTTGTGCCCCAAGGCAAGCTCCTGGCTCATGCAGCATGGTGGACTGGCCACAGCACTGGTTGCCATGGTGGGTAAGACCCAGCCTGGGCAACACACCAGTGTGGCCAGCCTTGCACAGGGTGGTGACACTGAGGTGTATCACCCATGGATCTCTCTGGCACCCAGGCCACTGCTGCACCCTCTGGCAGCTGGAGGAGGACTGTGCTCCTTCTCTCCTTCTTCTCCATACCCAGGACCTGAGGTCACCTCTGTCAGCACCCCCAAGGGTGGCTGTGCAGAAGGGGGAAGGGGAGGGGAATCCCAGCACTGCAGTGGGGAAAGGCAGCTGGAATAAGACAAGAGCTCACCTCAAAAGGCAGCTGAGCCCTTGGCCAGACGCTTTGGCCGGGTCTGGTGTCTGGTGTCAGTGAAAAATTAACCACTGGGAGGAGGGCTGGGGTGGGCAGGTGTGCCTGTCTGCACTGTGACATGCAGCTTCTTGCAGAGCAGCTCACAGGGGAACAGAGAAAGCCAATGGGTTTTGGATTAAATGCTCTCTGGGCTGTGCCTAAATAATCTTGTCCAGTGAGCCAGTGGGTGGCTGAAATCAGCTCTCACACCCAGTGAGAACTAAAGTGGGCTAAGTCCATAAATCAAAGCTGCAATTCTCGGAGTTTGGGATCCTCAGCCTGGTGATGAGGGGCTGCACTGACAGCAGCGCTGTGCAGGGCAGGGAGCAGCGAGCCCCAGGCATCAAGCCCTGATTTCCCTCCTCTCTGAGGACCTTCAGATGAGCTCTATGTGTCCCTTACAGGTGACAGGAGGAACACCAAAGCCAGTCACTTCCCCTGGCCAACAGTCGTAGCTGTCCTGTTCCTCGTCTGCAGCGCTCTGGTACCTTTAGGCGTCAGGAAATGGTGTCAGTACCAGAAAGAGATGTGAGTACCAGTGATGGAGCCACAGGGGTGAGAGGGGTGGCACAGAAGGCAGCACCAACTCTAACCCAGCTGTCTGGATTTACACCTTTTCATGACGACGCATAGCACACAAAGCCTTTAAGTACATAGATCACTAATGCCATTTTTCTCTTACAGCAGTATGTAAAGTAGAATGTTCTCAGTCCCTTCATCTGTTCTGTGGGTTATCTTTAAAATAAACTTTAAGAAAAGAGCTGCAGTGCAGCTTCAGGGTGTAAGGGAAAAATAACAGTCAGTTTTTGTCCCCAGAGCCCCCCATTTCTATTAGCCTCCCTGCCAGCTGCTTTTGCTCTCTCATTTTCTATGGTTACTTGAGGATATGTTTTAATGAAATTGTACTTCTAGGGCAGCTCTATTTGAGTTTTGAATAATATATGTGAAAGTAGGCTACCTGAAACTCAATCCCAGTCAAAGAAGCATTGAGTATGCAATTATTACCAAAGTTTGATTCCCTACTAAAACGCTCCAAGATCTACTGGTAAAAGCAATATCTAAGAGACAATTATTTTAAATCTTACTAATTATTAAAATACTCAAAAAATCATAGTTATAATTAATCACCTATGATTCTAGAAAAACCTCTTAAAACTCAACTGCAAAACCTGTATATCAAAGATAAAACCAGGAATTTTTTTAAACTAATTTGAGGTGGGACCTTTATTTATAAATTGATCCCAAAAAAAGTTACGAGTCTTTAAATATACTTTCAGAGAGCAGTGAGAGCAAAAGGCCCATGCAAGGATTTTGAATAGTTCATCAGGACCATGCTCGGTTCTTTTAAAACATGAATGAAATAAAACTGTGAGGTGGGAGCTAAGAAAGCCAAATGAATAGCAGGAGGTGTGCTGGGGTTATAAAACAGACTCAGGGAAGTTGCAGTATGTAAGAGCTAATGTCAGGTGCTCTTATAATGACTTAGTGCCAATCCACCTCCTCCTGTGAACCTTTTACAACTGCCTTTTATGCTACTTTCATGTGATAGTGCATTTTCGCTCTTCTATTTCAGTATGATGAACAGACCTCCATCTTTCAAGCCACCGCCACCTCCAATAAAGTACACCTCCATGGCAGAGTGTGATGGGACTCCCCCATCCTGCCACAAACTGGAAAACCTGTAACACCACCTGCAGCCCTTGTGTAGCACACAGAAGACTGGCACAGTTAAAAGCCTCTGCCTTTGGAACAGTGGTTACAGGAGCTTGGTGGTAATGACCCATATTAAAATTCAGAGCTCCTACATGACATTAATTTTGGAAGCTGAGCACGCCTTGGGACACTCCTTTCATCCTGTGTATCTCTATGCATGCACTACGTTCATGGTGAGTGTCACTGTGAGATTACACGTGCTTAATTTGAATTGGGTGATGAACTGGGAATTTGCTGTCTCATCTGTGGTAGCAGATTAACATATGAGTCTGCCAGCCTGACTGAAGAGTGTTGAAGCTTGTCCATCTATTCAATGTATAGAGATGACAACTCTGCCATATGGACATCACAGTTACACAGCAAACAGTGGCTGAACACAAGATTTTGAGACCTACACGAGCTGTTCTTGCAGTTATTTATTTTTACTGTGGACTAACATAACCCAACATATAATTTTCTATCACTGTGAAACCAAAAGAAAGAATCAGCACCATACACAGACAGAAAATAACCTGCAACTCTTGGCACAAGATTGCAGCACTGGATCATGGAGGGTGCTTGGTGAGATGAAAGATCACCAGCCCTGGTACAAGTGTATGCAAAGAAGTCCCAGCTGTCATCGGTGAAGTCACAAGAAAGTCAGTTTTGGTCCAGAGACTTAAGGACTGAAGCAAGCCTAAAGACAATGGAAAATTCTAGTCCTTTTGGAAGTGCTATGCCTTTGAAATAATACTTTTAAGTCTGCTTTTCAGGAATTATATTTACAGTATACGTGAAGGAAAAAAAAATAATGTAATAATTTTATTTTTCTTTGGTCTTAATGAGCTTCCATCACTTGCTATCTTCACATTTTCCAAGACCTCAGTGGTAGTTTCCCAGATGGCTTAAGCCTGTGAAAGAGATGATCCAGTCTTCCCCCTGTTCCTGCCCAAGCTACAGATTTCCTCATATTGACACTGATGAATAAATGATGGTGCAGAGGGTGGGCTGGGCTTGGCCCTCTGCACAGCTCTCAGCCAGGTCAGCAGCTGTGTGATCACCAGTGCAAGGCACCAGAGCTGCAGGAGGAGCCCTGCTTTTGGCAGCAATTGTGGTACCTTCAGGCAGCCAAGAAACCGTCCCTCTAAGCTTGTTTGGAAATGTATTGTTACCACAATGGTATTTCTGTAATTAATGCAAATGAGCTAATTTCAATCATGTCAGGCTTAAAACTGATATTCTGACCTAGGAATGGGATTTGCTTTATTTACTGCTAAACACTGGTCAATGAGTGTCAGGTTTCAGAACACTGTATTTCCTAGAACTTTAGATTAAATGAATGGCTTACTGGAAAGAATGATCTAACAGACCTTTTTTAGAGTAGTTCATTGTATTATTTATGTTGTAGTACAAGCAGTTCTAAATCCATCATCTGTGCTGAATAGAAAACACTTTGTTTCCTACAAAACCATACCGACCTTATATGCCTGGAAGGGTCAATGTTAATTTGAGCATTTCTTGTCTGTGTTGTAGAAGCACAGTGATTTAACTTTTGTCACATGATCCATCACTGCAAAAGAAGGCAGGTTGTTTGCCTTAAAAAAAAAAAACAAATTGGAAAAAACCCACAAAAAAACCAAAAAAACAGTAACAAAAAAAAACACCAAAAAAAAACCAAAAAAACAACAAAAAAACCCACAAAAAAAAAAAAAAAAAAAAAAACCCACACCAAAAAAAAACACAACGAAAAAACAAACAAACAAACAAAAAAAAAAATACCACCCAAACAGATGGATAACAATATTCGAAGGGATGTGGAGAGTGAGGACGTTCCTCCTTATCATTAGACGACGATGACTGTCCATAGCATGCACACCAAAGGGGGCTATTTTATTATCTCGGGTATTCTGATCCCCACGGCTGCTTCTGGGGTTCTGGCTTCCCTCTGACCGCGAGCAGCACTCACGGATGTCACCGCTTCCTGCGGGGAGCGCCGCTCCCCGAGCGCCCATCCCCGCAGGCTGCCGCTCTCCGCAGGGTACCCGGGAGAGCCGCTCTGCCCGCGGCGCTTCCAGCCTCTCCCGGGCCGCCCGGGCGGGCACGGCGGCCGTGCTCCCGCCTCTCCCCAGCAGGTGGTGCCGCAGCCCGGCCAGCGGGCCCGCTCCGCCTCTCGTCCCGCCCTGTCCCTGCCCGCTCCGCCTCTCGTCCCGCCCTGTCCCTGCCCGCTCCGCCTCTCGTCCCGCCCTGTCCCTGCCCGTTCCCGTCCCACCGGCGGAGCGCGGCACTGTCGCTCCCCGCCCCGGGGCGCAGGGACGGGCGCGACGAGGGTGCCTGCGCTCCTCTGCCGGCTTCAGAAAAGGAACAGGGAAAGGGGCAGCCAGCGGATTGGGACCCGAGGGAGGAGATTCCCCCCGTGCCAGCCCCGTCGTCCTGGTTTTCTGCAGGTAAATTTGGTGTAGGATGGTTTATGTTTCTGTTTGCCTCTGTCTGCTCCTCACCAGGGTAAGAATGGAACATATCGTTTACTCGAGAATTGTAATTTACTTCAAAATTGACCCCTCCCTTAAAGGAAAAAAAAAAAAAAACCCAAAACAAAACAAAGAACAAACAAACAAACAAAAAACAACCCAAACAAAAAAAACCTACTCAACTGCAGCAATTTCAGCTGTCCCATCCCTGGAAGTGTTCAAGGCCTGGCTGGATGGGGCATTGAGCAACCTTGTCTAGTGGAAAATGTTCCTGCCTATGGTAGAGGGATTGGAGCTTGATGATAACTTTGGGATTTCTTTAAACCCAGACCATTCTACGATTCAGTGATTATTTTTGGCAGCTGCTGCCCCGCTATGAAAGCTGGAATCATTGGCTTGGACTTGGGTTCTGTCAACTCTGGAATTATTTGGCCAGATCAAGTTACCAGGACAGATCAGATGCTTGAAGGTGGCTATGGGAGTATTAGATTAAAACTTTTCTCTAAGTGGAAAACATTCAAAGCTTGCTGTGTGGATGAAGATTTTTTAAAGAGAGTCTTAATCGTTTGTTATGGTTTAACCTCAGCTGGCAGATCACTTCCACCAGTAGGGTGCAGAGAGAACTGGAAGAATAAAGTGAGAAAAATCATGGGCTGAGATAAAGACAGTTTAATAGGGAAAGCAAAAGCTGCACACTATCAAAGAGAAACAAGGAAAATATTCACTGCTTCATATGGGCAGGCATGTGTTCAGTCAATTACAGGAAAGCCAGACTCCATCAAGTGTAACGATGAATTGGAAGGCAAAATACAATCACTCTCAATGTCTCCCTCTTCTTTCTTCTTCCCTAGCTTTATATTCCAAACATGACACCATATGGTGTGGGACATCACTTGGGGCCAGCTGTCCCAATTGTGTCACCTCACAACTCCTTGAGCAGCCCCAGCCCACTCAGTGGTGGGGTTGTTATGAATAAAAAGTTATCTATTTTTGTTTAAGGTTGCAGAGTTAAAACCGGTTGGACCAGTTGCTGTTAAGTTAGCTTCATTGTTAAGAGTTCTTCAATTGCCTGTTAATGGTTGGTGATTAGCCAGTGTCCCCCTGGTGCTTGCCAGGGAGCGACACCCGGACCCTGCAGTACCAGGAGAATGGGAGTGGCATCAGAGCTAGTATGCAGATGAGAAATGCATTGCACTAAATCTTACAAATTTTCACAAAAACCCCTAAAAACAACGAGCCAACATAGAATTAGGGGACCTAGGTGATGTCTAAGGATGGGCGCGTAGTCCAGTGCCTGCTTGGATCCTTTTTGCTTCTCACCCTGACCTGAAAGGATGTTGACTAGAGAGAGGACCCGAGGTATTGGCCCGAAAAGGTGGACTCTCCTAATCTCTCATGAGGACGGAGTCCCCAGCTCTGCCTGCAGACCAGCGGACAAAGCTGCATCATCATCCTCCTCCTCCTCCATGCCACTCCTGGCAGCAGCGGCGCGACCTGTCGATTTCTCCCCACCTGAGCTGAATCTCTTTAATAAAGGCATTAAAAAGGAGTAAGATCTCCTGCCCATTTATTTCAGGGTGGGAGGCAGAAAAGCTTTGACATTGTGTAAGCACTGCTCAGCAGTAATGGAAATATCTCTGCATTATCCACACTGTTTTTACCATAAATCCAAAACACTAGCTTATAAATCTCCATACCAGATACTATGCAAAGAATAAACTCTACCTCAACCAAAACCACATTGCTAAATGCAAATCCATGACATAATAAAACCTGTAAAGCAGACCCAAGTCAGAATCAGAGGTCACATAATAACATGTAATGAAACTAGCTGGACCTGCTGTGTATGGTCTTTAATACCTGCGTTATACAGCCATAAACACAACGCACTGGAAAGCTAAGCAGCTAGCTGGTTTTATGCACAAGTGGTTTTCTTCTGCTACTGAGGTAGCAGAAGATAGTGAATGCTACAGGGTGAGGGGGGAAAGTCACGAAAGGAAGGAATTTGTTCTCAGTATTTGTTAGCAGTTGCTAATGTGCCTTGTGAAGTCAGTGGAGTGAGTGACCCTTCCCAGCACTCTGTGGTGTGTATTCCTGCCTGTTGTACCCAGGTGGTGCTGGGTCCTGCTGATGGAGGTCCAGGAAAGGCTGCCACCCCTAAGCCCATAGGATGTGTGGAGCAGACAGGTGTCCTCAGCCTGGCTTCCAGCTCTCTGACAAGAGAGAGGACAGCTCTGAGCTTAGAGGATGCCCTGCTCCTGGCACACCTGAGCCATCCCAAGCCTTAATCCCCCTGAATTACCTTTTGCCTCACTCTGAATCACACATCCTTTTTAAACAGTAGTGCAGCAGCTTCAATTACAAGGCATCTTTTGGTCCTGTAAATTAATTAAGCTTGGCTTGTTTATTTAAGAAGCACTCCTATAAACTAGTTTGCACGGTGTGCTCCAGTAACTGGAATGCAGGCAGAGGTGTGGCAGTGCCTGGGAGCAGGCTGTGGGAGAGCACGGACTCCCCAGCCATCCCAGTGCCAGGCTTTAGATAACAGTGGCTGATAATAGGCTTTGTCACTTGGGATTTCCTGGGATAGGCTGTTTCGCCCATCTTAATACAAACGTATGGAGTTTTCTCTTTTCAGGAATGTTCTCCTCCTTGCAGCTGTGTTGAAAGCCTTGAGAATTGCTCCAGCTTTGTTTCTGTGTCTGTGTTTGCTTGATAAAGCTGTGCACAGAAATTATACCTGCTAACCAGCACAGGGTATTGTTTGCATGGTCTTTGCTGGATTTAGAGCCACCACATGTTAGAAGTGGCAAACATTAGAAGGATCTGTAATGCTTTGACTCCAGAAGAAGCAGGATACAAAGGAGAAATTTGCTTTTATTTATTATGTTAGTAAGCAATTCTTCCTGACTCTGCAATTAACTTTTGACCAATAAACCAAAGGAAAGCTCCTGAAAAGCTGTGTAGGGGGATAATGATTGCTTAATCCTGTCTAAGGAGATTTTAATAGCAATAATATGAAATCATATTATATTTGAAATTATTCTTTAAGGACAAGACAAAGCTCAGGGAAGGATAGGGAAGTCCACAGTAAAGGGTATTTGATTTCAGGAAACATCTGATTACATCTTTAAAATTCCTCTTTGATCTGTTTTCTAGTTTATGATGCTTCATCTTTTCCCTTTCCTTTCTCCTGTACCAGTTTGCCCTGATAAAACTTTTAATCAGTGGAAAAGTAATGTATCTGTTTGCCCCTTGGTTCCTTTCCAAACGGGGTGACTTCCAGATTGATTCTGGCATGCAGCACAGCCTGAAACACCCTCGTGTGGTGTAAACAAAGAATTGAATAGCTCACTATTGTCAAACATAAGGCTTGCAGATGCCAGGGCTTGGCTCACAGCAAACAAAGGGAGAGTGAGAAGCAGGCAATATATTGATAGAACTGACAGTGAGGCTATGAGTGGTGGGCAGAAAAGGAAGGGGAAGTCAATATTACATAGGGTATATTTTGTATGATAGAAATCTAAGTATTTGCAGTGGGCTTAGGAAGTGCAAAAACTGTGACAGTAACAGTGGTTTTCTGACTTGATGTAAAATGGAAAATGTACACCACTGCTTGTGGTGCACTTGAAAGAAGTGTTTTAAATGCAGTGATGTCTGCAGAGCTTTGTGATTGAGTGTGTCTGATGGTTTGAGATGTTAAATTATTCCATTGCAGTGACAGTAAAAATGGTAATGAACAGCTTGGAAGAGTGTGAGTATATTTACATGAAATGTTTAGCAATTAGCTTCTCTCTCTGCAAATGAATCCTGCAGTTTTCTTCTCATCAGCAGCAAAGTGACCTTTCAAACACACAGAAGACACAGAAGCTGTTCCAATAACTTACTGATCTCTTGCCTGCTGATAAATTGCATTGTAAGGATTTGGAATTTACATGGCACTGTAGACTTTGGGCTGAAAAGGATGATTTTTAAAACATTAACAGAAAGTTTTCTAACAGTGTAAATGTGGCCTGTTTAAGAATGGGACGTGTTATCAGGGTACTCAGTGTGGTAAGGAGAAAGAGGCTAAGCTCCCTGTAGCACCTGACATTATCAGCTTATTTTCAGTTCCTTTAAAGCTCTTTTAAAAGTTCATTGTTCTGGATTTATGTTCTGTATATGGCAGAGCAGATGTTAAAATTGAAATAAACCACATTTGTGTGTTTGGAATTGGCTAACAGTGAAAACCATATAAATAGCATCAGCCTGGTCTGCACAACTAATCTTTTTACTGTGCATTTGAAACAGGAGGGTTAGGAGGATGGGAGTGGAATTTGAGCTGCTAGGTTGTTTGGGCTGCCTGTGACATTGGCTTGTGCTCTGCACCCAGGCAAAAGGGAATAGCTGAGTTCTCTGTAAATCCACATAAGGCACAAATGTGACTGTATAATCTGTGGGGAAAAATTGATAGTAAAGTTTTAGTCAGGCTATCCTCATTGCTGAATGTGATTCATATGGGAATGCTCCAGCAACATGGAAAAATACAACAACCTACTAGTCTTGATACAGAACAAAAAAAATGTCAATAATGTGGTGTTTTCCCTGTCTGCTTAGGCATTTTTATTTGCAGCCACTTAAACACTTGCTTGCAGTGGAGCATTTGAATGGTATCAAGTGACAAGACCCTACATAATTTGTGAGTTTAGTCTCTGGAAAATAAAATTGTATTATTAATGCCATTTGTTCCCTCTGGCTATCTCATTTAATGGTCATGCTTGCAATGTTTGGTACTGATTACAGAAGAAAATTACAAAGTTTTGTGTAGATGGAAAGAGATTGAGGTTTTGTGGAAGCAACAGGTAATTTAATACTCTTCTTCCTTAGAAAAGGAAGGGTTTTTTGGACCACAAGAAAGTTTTGCTAGTGGTTACTGTTATAGGTAAAAATTGATTAAAAGCCAAATTAATAATTAATAAAGATAGATTTTATTTTGCGACCGATATATGTCTTGTCAGGAATGTAATTAGTAATTCGTGGAAATAAACGCTGTATAAAATCAATAGCACAATCAAGCCCAGGATCGGCGCTAGGTGAACACTGATCCGACCTCTACCGCACCGGATCCCCTCTGTTCACAAAGGCTGTCCTTGTCTGGGTAGTTTTTATACAGTTCATTCTGCCTGAGGCAGAGCCTCTTTTCTTCTTATCACGGCTTCACATATTCATGTAGTTTCTTTTCTCTGTGTTGACCTGAACAAAACCATGTCCGGGAAGCAAGGTATGCCAATCATCGAGTACCTAACCCGCATTGAGATGTGTGCTCCTGATGGCTCTGGCTCTCTTGATCGGAGATGCTTACCGAGTATTCATCGCTTGGGTGTTTCCTGGACCGTCCTGGAGAAGGGCCCATCTTCGTGGAGCTACTTCCATTCATTTGCTAATTAGATCCTTCTCCCTGCTGCCTGCTGCAGCAATTTTGTGAAGCAATCTCCTCAGCTTGTGTGTTTGAAACCTTTAAGAATATTTCTTACAAACATAACATCTTCCCCGTATATTTCACGTAAGCATGAATTATTCTAAATCACATATAACATTACTGCTGGCAAGTGTCTGTGCACCACATCTGATGCTCACAGCTGAGGTCTCACCCCACAATGCTGAATGGATGTATGTCCTTCTTCCCTTACCACTCTGGTTGCGAGCTGGTGGTGTCCCACACAGTCTAAATGTTCTTTGCACGTTGGAGATCTAGATACTGTCTTAACCACAAGAGCCAGGGCGTGCTCATCCTGCACATCATAGCCTGGGGATGCTGAAACTACCTGTGCACAAGGGAGAAAGTCACTGCACTGTGGTAGCACGGAAGTACCCCGATGCTGTCACATTCTCCAGTACCATAAAGAATGATGGCAAATGCTCAGAGGTTTTGGGGAGGCTGTGAGGAGAGAAGGTTTGAGATTCTTCCTGCTTCAGCTGTAGACCCCTCTTTTCTAGCTGATCTGATGGCAGAGGACTGCTAAGACCTACTCTCTTGGCAGATGTGATTAGATTCCTTCTCCCATGTCAGAGCACATCCTCCTGTTCCTCTTCAGACTCTGTTGCCTGTCAAACACACCCCATCTTTACGTCCTTTGAGAGACGAGAAATTGTCAGAAATGCAGGATGGGGCCTGGCAAGGACACCCAGCAGTACTGTGTCAGTTGTCAGCTTTAACAGTTTTGGTTCTAGACTTAAGTGTTTACAGTTTCCCTGCCCAAAGGCACAAAGATGTCCCTGGGTACATACCAACCTCTGTGAAGTGGTTACCTCTGAACTGCAAGGCTATCTCATCCTGGAAAGCTACACTTGGCACAGCTGTGGTTGCCAGCTGCACGCAAGGTATTCACAAGTGCTCTTTCCCTGGACAGCCACAAGCTGCAAAAGTGGAAGCATGAGAGAGTGTTATAGATGGATAATGAAATGATTGGCTCTCTCAAATAAGGGATAACAATTGTGTGAATATTAAGAAAAGCTTTAGTGATGTATAGTTATGTTATTGTAGTTTAGATGTCCTCTGTTCTCCCCATAGTTCCCTTTTCCCCCTCTCTGTATTGTTGCCATCAGACAGCCGGGGTTGTCTAGGACAGGTACAGAGAAGGCATGCACGTGTGTCCCTTACCTGGGGCAGCTGGGAATGGAAAAGTTTGTTGCTTGGGGGGTGAGACATGGCAACATCTGATCTCAATCAAGTTACAAGAAAGCAGTCTCCACTGATAAATGGCAAAGAAGAGATGACTGACAGACTTTGGGAGGGGCCAGGGCTGGTTGATGCAACCCCAGGGGTATAAAAGACTGAGCATCCATCTTGAACTGGCCACGTGGTATCCACAAGGATGAATTTTTCCTTATGTAGTCCTTTTGTTGTATTTTGTTAAGGTTTAATAAACCTTTTTAAGTTTTTTAAGTGAGCAGTTGTTTCTCACAAGAGTGAATAACGTACAGCAGAAGAGATATTTAAAGGAGATACACTTGCAGGGGTAGGGACTGTTTGGAGATCCTGCATAACATAACCACTCTCTTAGTTGAAGGTAAAAATTTATTTAGAAGAGAAAATGTTCATGGTCTCATACACATGGCTTTGAAGAGCGTACCCTGCTGTCTCCTACATTGGGCCAAGTGTGGTCTTAATGGGAAGGGGGAGCAGGGCTGCAGAACAATGGAATGCATGCAGAACCTACCTTCCATGTTCTTCCTCGAGTGTGAGGGTCAGGAGTGCCTTGTGAAAATTTTGTAATACAAATTGCACTGAGTTTAAGCCTCTTCAGTATCAAAGATCTAAAAGCAAAATGTCTTTGTTGGCTTCCTTGAGAAGAAAAATACTGACTCATGGAAGGAGATCGCAATCTGGTTGTATTCTGCAATAAATGTGTTAACTTTGTGCTCATATAAATATGATAAATATATTCATACTTAGGGAAATATATATCGAATCACGCTTTAGAATATGTTACAGAAAGCACCCAGGTTTTAGAAACCTTACACAAGGGTTGGGAAATTGGTTACCTCACTAGATTGCAGCACACACAGCTGTTCACTGAATAAGAGTCCAAATTAGCAAGTGAAGGGAGTAGCTCCTATGGAAATTCTGAGCGAGTCTCAGAGCGCTCAAGCCATCATCGGCCAGTAAGGACCGAGGACAGCTCTGGACTAGCGTGTGAATGCTCGGTTCCCATAACTCAAACTTTACATGTATTGGTTCCCAGATGTGGCATTGTTTGTCCCAAGGCAGCTTTGTCCGAGCAGGAGACGGGATTCCTCCAACACCTGACGGAGGACAGAGCACTACGTGAATATTCGAATCCCTCCCCGGACACTGTTCTGTCTACTCAGAGTTCTTCCAACAGCGGACAGGATGGGGACCGCATGAATATTCAGAGAAAGAGAAAGAAACAAAAGAAACCTAGCTCCGGGCAAGAAAAACAGTATATAACCACGGCTCACCATACGAACTTTGTGAACTCCACAGATCTGATGTGAGAGGGGGTCAGAACTGTGTTCACCCAGTGCCGAGTCCCGGGCTCAACGCTGTCCCTTTGACTGTGGCTCGCAGAGATTGTATTTTGATTCGCGAAATAAAATCTATTTCCTTTTTATTTTAAGCTGGCTTTCTCAAATTATTGATTGGCCTGATCTGGTTGTTGCCTATAACAATTCTATGAAAATATATAGTTAATGTGTATGTACAAATACATTAAGTTTATGTATACTTTAAATATACAGTTCAATCAGCAGTTTCACTGTATATCAATTAAAGTATTCTGTGAATAATTTGCAAACTGTAATATATCAAATGAAAAATATCTGCTTAAATAAAAAATACTTCCTTACAGACAAAACAGAGGACTTCCAAAATACTTATCTTTGGTGTTTTGTATTCAGCCTTTAGTAACTTGACAGTGAAAAATTATCTTTCAGAATTACATTTGTGGTTTTGTGGTTTTTTGTTTTGGTTTTTTTTTTTTTGTTTTGTTTTGTTTTGGTTGTTTTTTTTTTTCCACTAAGGTGATTGGGTAGGTCTCAATGTTGTATACCTGGTCATCTCTATATCCTATGGGAAGAGTAGGGAAATAGTATGTTTATACATATTTTTAAGGAGCAGTTAAGAAAACTTGCTCACAAAGCATTATCCTTCGAAGTCACGTAAGAATGCAAGGGAGGAAAAGTGTATCTTAGAAGATCGATTTTGTGTATCATGGCAAATCCAGAAATTATTTTGGAGAAAATTCTTTCTCCAACAACCAAATGCAGTGAAAGGTCAAGTGTGAGACTGTCAGGGAAAGGGAATTGTGGAAGAGCAGGTGGTGGGGGATTGATCCTGTGTTATCTTGCTCCTTAAATCTTCTGCTGCGGTGTTGGCTCTTGCCAGACAGTGTGTAAATCTCTCCAGATAACACACTTAACTCACCTGCCAGCACCATAAAACCAAGGTGCTGGCCCTCTGTGTCAGGGGTAGCTCTCAGGTGCTACGGTAGAGTGAATGGATGAATTTTTCGGGACTCTGATGTGCATCAGCTGAGGGAGCTGGGCGTGTTTGGTCTGGAGCAGCCTGAGAGGGGACCTGTCAATGTCCATCAGCATCTGAAGGGAGGGAGGCAACAGGATGGAGCCAGGCTCTGCTCAGTGGAGCCCAGCAACAGGACCAGAGGCCATGGGCAGAAACTGATTCCCAGGAGGCTCCAGCTGAACACGAGAAAGAGCTTTCTTCCCGTGCAGAACAGGGCACTAGAGCAGATTGCACGCACGGGGTGGCATACTGGCGGCACACCAGCCCCGTCAGAATGCCATTCTGTGCCGTGTGCCCCGAGCTGTCCCTGCTGGAGCAGGGCGGTGGGAGCAGAGCCCCGCCGTACGCCGCACCTGACCCAGCCCGCCGAGATTCCATGGACGCCGCAATCCCTGCCCACCAACCCCGCCGGGGCGCGCGGCCGGGGGCGGGGCCGGGGCAGCGGCCAATGGTGAGCCGCCGTGCCCCGTGAGGTCACCCCGGTTACATAAGGGCGGCGGTGCCAGCGCCGCTCCGGCCCTGCGGGCCTGGCCCCGCCGCCTGCCAGCCGAGAAGGAGCGCCGGCGGGGCGGCGCCGTGGGGGCCATGGCCGATGGCAACGCCGACTGGATGGGCTCGCTACCGCCCTCACTGCGCTCCCTGCCGCTCTCCAACCTCGCCATCCCGGGTAGGGCGGGACGGGGTGTGCGGGGCCGGGGCTGCCCGGGCGGTGGTGGGGGAGTCGCCTCGGCCGCGGCGTCGCGTCCCCCGTAATGAGGTGCTGGGGCTGAAAGGAGCCCTGTCCATCGCAGCAGAGAATGGCGGGCTTATCTCCCGTAAATACTGCTGTGAGACGCTGACCACTGACCCGCTGCTTTCACTGCCTGTAGAAAAGGCAGCTGTGACCTGAGCGTTTGCAGATGCTTTAAGTAAGAGTGAAGTCGGATGGGGAGAATGGCTTGGCTGCGTTCACCCAGCACCTGGAGGTTTATCAAATCAAATCTGGAGGTTTATGTGCTGAGGTGGGGCTCTGAGCAACCTGCTCTCGTGAGGAGTGTTCCTGCTCGTGTCAAAGGGCTTGGAACTATGTGATCTTCAGGCTCCCTCCCAACCCAGACCATTATATGGCATCTTTAAGGGTGTAAGAGTTCTTTTTCAAAATTTTTGAAGTAAAGATGTTTGTATTGTAGGTCAAACTTGATGTATCTAAGGCTGATTTGAAAGGTAAGGTAGCTTTTGCCATCAGAAGCCAGTTTTTCAACCACTGATACACCTAGAGCCAAATGTCACACTCAGCAGAGTGTTCTGCTGCTCGCAATGTGCAGGCTGCCTTTCCATGGAGAGGTGGGACAGCTCTCCACCTGTGGCTTCTGGTGGTGTACAGGGCCTCTTGTGTCATCTTCTAGTGATCCCAGCTGGTGTGTTCTTGCTTCCTCAGAAAGCATGTGGATGGCTGGCCAGAATCTTATTTCTAAGTCGTGCAGAGCATTTGGAATGTGGAGCCATTTCTGTCAGCATCGGGTTGGACAATGGCTGAGGAGTTTCCTGTGGGATGCTGGGTTGTAGGTAGCCAGAGCTGACATAAAAAATGGGATTTACAGTCCCAGAAACATTTTTTTTTTTTAACGGAGAAAATCATATGGACCTGAATATGGCCAGAACAAGAGCATACTGGAGACTCAAAACAGTTGGTTAAGTGTCTTCAACTTGACTGTTCACTGATCCCCAAGGAGAGATGTATCCTTGCACTTCTGAAATAGTAAATCTTTGCTGCTCCAAACTATAGCATAGTCAAGCTGCCTAATTCCCCCTATGACACACACACTCTCTTGTAATATAATAACTTTCCATAGTTTGTTCATGGCAGTGTCAGTATGACTAGCCCAAAACTTGCCACATCACAGTGTGCTGCTGTTTCTGCCCTTCTCTGAGAAGTTCATCCCAAGAGTCTCAGTAAGAAGCTTCCTGATTTTGATTAAATGATCAAAGTACTATGAAATCATCATCCCTGGAAAACAAAGCTTTAGAAATACAGCTGGTAGGCAGCCTTAACAAGGAGCAGCCCTGCTGGCCAAGCCCGTGGTTCAGCTTAAAGGGGAGACGGAAGGCATGGAGTGTTGTTTCCTGTGTTGATAACCTGCTGTAAGTGACTGAGTTGGTGCAGTAGTGTGACTGTCCTCATGTGCCAGGTTCCAGCACTTGGAGGTGATGAGGCCCTGAGCATCTTCTGGATAGGATGCCATCTTCCCATCCACCAACTGGCCAACTCTGCTCTCCTGACAGCGTAGCTGCTCCGTAAGAGCCCTGTGAGCTGCTTGACTTGGAGTTGGCTAAGCAGAGCCAAAATGGTTCTGAAAAGAAGAACCAGCAAGTGCTGTCCAGTTGAGAGCTGGCCACTAGGCTCTGACTGGATTGGGTGTTTCTTCTTTGTCTGCCTGACCTTGAGGTGAGCTGCTGAACTTGCTAATGCTATGATTTTCTTGTTTATTTGTTTATGGGCTGGTGTGGGCTGTGGACGTGTGTGCTGAGGAGTGGTGGAGACCTTGAGGCTGCATCCTCCTCCCAAACGGTATTCCTTTGGAGTTCTCATTAAAAGGATCATTGAATCATCTGAACTGGCCATGTGTTGGGCTGAAGCTCAAAGGGAAAAAATATAAGATGTATGTTCTGTTTCACCAAGCTTTATTTTCCCTCTCAATTTAGTTCACATCTACCAATGAATCAGGTGGTAACCACCAGAATAAAGTATCTGGATAAGTATAATGATGTTGAGTATGATTTGTAAATGCTGAATTTTCTGAAGAGACAAGTTATTTTATTACCTTGTTAGGCTATTTGATTGTAACAGCAACTCTCAAATATTTTTAGAGAGGCTGTTCAACTATCCAGACTGTTAGACTGGTGAGAACATTTGATGGAAGTTGTTCCACTATTCTTAAGTAACCAAGTATTCTTTTTGTATGTCTCTCTGTGAGGAACTGGTCTGGCAGACACTGGGTCTGTACAGGAGTTCCCCTGAAAAGCCAGTCTTAAGGGTTCTCTTTTTAAAGAACTTCTGTCATCTGTTTAGCCAAAACCAAATTACTCTTGAAATGCTACAAATTTTTCTTCAGACAGTATGTGAAGGTCCTAATTAATCTGGGTTTTTTTTTTTCTGGAAAAAATTTCTTCCTGTGACTTATTAAAATCTGTACCCTTGAGAGGGACTTAAGTGTGTCTGGTAAATGAGTCTGGTAAAATGTCTTCAACTTGACTTTTCACTGATCTCCAAGGAGAGATGTGAACGATAAATGAGTGCAGAACATGCCAAAGTTTTACTTCCAATGGAGAAAACTAGTCATAATGTTGATATAAATGGTTGTTGCTCTCTTTCCATGTTGTGAAAGTTTGCCTGCTTTTCCAGCAAAGATGCTAAAAGAGGGGAAAGTAACTAGAATGTAATAAAAATTTCTCTATAGCTTTCTCAGAAGAGAATGAACCCTTGGTCCACTCAGTTCTGAGTGGTCAAAAAAGAGGAGTTTAGGACTCTAAGCTGAAGGGTTTTTTCCTAGAAAGAGGGAAAAGTACTAGAATGTAATAAAGAATGTAATAAAAATTTCTCTATAGCTTTCTCAGAAGAGAATGAACCCTTGGTCCACTCAGTTCTGAGTGGTCAAAAAAGAGGAGTTTAGGACTCTAAGCTGAAGGGTTTTTTCCTTTTTGAGCATGTGGATCCAGTCAGGCTTTGAGATGGTAGAGACATGCTGTGTCTTTCTTGCATTCCCATTGCAGACAGCTGAGAATGTTGATAAATGAGAAATCATTGCTAAGTGACCTTAACCTTCAATGGCAATAAGTCCAGCCAGTGCCCAAAGGATTTCTTCTGTCTGGAAAGAAATGCAAACTACTCTGACATTGTGTCTGACATTTTTAGGTTGTCTTTAAGCTCTTGCATCCCATTGCACTGCCTGAAAGGGGCAGTGGGGGAAATCAGGGTAGCTCTTGTACAGAGAGAGGGAGTTTTCCTAAGAGGATTTGGTCTGTACTAGGATTTGTCTTTCTTAATGGGACTGCATTAAGAATATCTAAAGGATTCTTGTAGGTTTCTTAAAATATACTCATCTCTATAGTTGTAGATAATTGATTATCAATAGGATGTTTCTTATTTCTGTGTCATCTCCTTTTGCTGGACAAGTTAGTATGAACTATGTGCTTTTCATTAGTGATGAACTTTTAAGATGTTAATCTTCTAATAAGAAAATCTGGATTGTTAATGACCTGAATTCTGAGGACTTCTAGACTTTGAGAGGCACTTTTTCTTATCCTGTTTTTCCCTCAGTTTTGGCA